ATGTACTTTAAAGGTGTGAAGAATTGCAGGTAAATCAAGGTATTATAAAGGTGAAGAATTGCAGGTAAATCAAGGTATTATAAAGGTGAAGAATTGCAGGTAAATCAGGGTGTTTAAACGGTGTGAATATTTCCAGGTAATTAAGATTTATTATAAAGATTGTGAAGAATTTCAGGTAAATCAAAGTATTATAAAGGTGAAGAATTGCAGGTAAATCAAAGTATTATAAAGGTGAAGAATTTCAGGTAAATCAAGGTGTTTAGGATATAAAGGTGTGAAGAATGAAAGAAGACAGACTGTAATGACTATCATCTGGTTTGTATAACATCAGCACCTTTATATTATCTTTCTGACTAAACCAGGCTTGCTGATGCCTTTCTTGTGTATCACAGACAGACAGAACTTATACTAGTCAGAGATCAAATAGACTTATCTCTAAATACATCTTAGTACTGTTGGTACAAAAAGGTCATCACTTGATGCTCCACTGCCATTGGGTGTGTAACAGTACCAAAATGATCTCACATTATATGACCCCATTGGCAATTTTATATTGAACTCATTAAAGGGATTGTTAAGAGGTTTTCTAAAACTTTTATGTGTATCGGGGACATGCATCATTCCAATTTTCTATCAGATGTCTGTCGTTACCAGCATTATTATATCATAGGGCATACAAATGTCAACTCAAAACACAAATTCGCATTTTTCATTCATGTTTTTTCCATTAAAAGGGGGGAGAAATCCTTGTTGTATGATTTATTATTGAGTATTTGGAATTATATATACTGTAACTGCCAATTTCAATGAGCTCAGGTAAGCTTATACACAATCCATCCAAATACTTAGATGCTTACAAACTTTTAATGTCTTGGATCCAAGTTAAACATTTTACCAAAGAGACTGCTATCTTAAAATATACTGTGGGCTCTAGTTATATATAGATAACCATAAAATTTGTTTTAATACAGTCATGGGTTTACCAAGCTCCAGTATTATAACTAGTACCATGAAAATAACAAACCTACAAATCAGTCAATATGACATTAAAATTGACTATTATGGTCTTTCTGGTCAATTAAAAATCACTTACACTTCAATATCTTGACCTCTCAATGATGTCAAAGGTCAAATACTTGACCCCATTCCATCATTAAAAGACAAAAGTCTGGGAATCTCATCAATGTTTTGAGAAGAAAATCAAAATGAAAATATTTCTGGCAGATCATCCTAAGATTTGTGTTAAATTTTTATTATTCCCTAAACAATGATTTGGTGCTGATGGCTTATTACTTTTGGAGAGTTCACACGAAATGTCATGCTCCTAAGAGACAAGTTCAAACTCAAAATAAATATTTCCAAACTACATCAAGAAAGTTTTAATTATGTTTAATATGAACTAAACACCAGTTGGTAGTAAGTTGGATTGTGTCTGCTAGGCAATCAGATGCCGAAGGTTTGAATTCACCTTAAGCCTGCTTAGGTAAGACAAATTCTGATGACCAGTAATTCTAAAGTAAGTCTGCTGTCGGCTTTCAACTCCTATCACCCAAAGGTTGGGAGTAGAGAGATAAGCAGATAAAGGGTCTAAAAGACTGGAAATGATATCAATGATTAGCAATGTTTAATTGGTATGATCAATATTGATTCACATATTGATCTGTGTCTCTGTTTATTTCTCTAATGATCACATTAATCAGAGAGTGTAGCTATATTGATAACATAAGTCAACAATACCAACTCTCTTCTTTAATACCAGATTTACTATAGTACTAATCACAATAATAAATCTACCCACTGCAGATTCTTCTAAACTGATATTATCAGTAGTAAGCTCCTGATAATCAGGGCTTTTGATATGAATATCTTTGCCAGTAGAGATTGACAGAGTATAAATCTCAGCAATAAACACACAAGAGAACATTGTTCAGTCATAGGATATATGCTTCAGGAAAGGTACTGGTAAACCAATTCACTTATTCATAGGGTAATTAGCGAGCAGGGGAACATTAAATTGTACCCAGGGTATAAAATGATACCAAAATGTACCTGATGTACAGAAGGAATAAAATCAAAGTACACTTTGAAATGTTACATTCATTTGTACCCTGCTCAAATCACCTCAATTTGCATCAGTTTAAGAGTCAAATTCTGTCTTGTGAAAAGACCAGCATGACATTGTTTCATTGTTTTCTTATCTTAGTTAGGTAGGAAATGAATCCATAGATACTGTATCGTCTGATTCAATCTAATTGTATTTGCTTAATCCAGGGGTATTTACATCTGTTGGACTGTATGGAGACATCATTTTTGTAATTATTTTAATGATCCATGGCAAACATCCATAAAATCGACACACAAACATAAACGATTACTAGTTGAATGATTAACATAACATGAACAATGCTAACAGTAACTGAGGCCATTGTATTGTCAATAAACAGTCAAATGTTGACCTAATCCTAATGTAATCAGGTTAACTACATTCCTAACTTTGTTAAACCTCCACTAATCCTTGACATGATTATCACTTGGTCTGGATTCCACTTCATTTCATTTTGAATATTAGTTAGCTTCTTGAGATTGCTTGATTGGTGAGTTCTGGATTCATGGAATCAACTGAACGTTCAATAATATTAAACAAGTTGGAACTTTCCACTTATTCCAAAATATAAGCTTACTAGGTTTAGACACAATTGAAAATGGCAGAGAAAGAAATAGATACAGTAGCTTACTAAAAGGCTAAAGGACAGTCTGAAAAGATTAGGGAAAGTTTGGTGCTCTAGTAAATGAATCATTTTGACATCATGAAAGATGTGTCCTTTTATCCTCTTCTGTAAGTTTTATATACAAGTATCTTGCAATCAATTTTCTGTGTGTATTAAATCTATAGATTTCTAGTAATGACTAAGACAAAAAGGTTCATTCCACTTAAAATGTTCCTGAGTTAGGAATTCACTGTTTAGGTTTCGAGAAAGCCTTGCGTCAGTTTAGGGGAAAGAGATTTTGAAAAAGACCAAATAGAAAAACTTGTCTGTTGATTTCTCACAATCAGATTCAATTGCACAGAATGAAGATTCAAAGTTCGAACGCATAATCCTTCACGTCTACTGATAGTGAATTCACAATTCAATTCGTCAGTGAATGGAAATTGCATTGCAAAAAAATCAGAAATTCATTATCAAAAATACAAATGAAAACAACAGTGATCAGTTAGATTGTGAGTTTTGATCAGTTTTCAAAAACGTAAGTAGTGAATATTACTCACCGGTTGCCGTTAATTGAACTGTTATCTTAAACAATGCTTTGTTTTTAAATGAGATAATGTGAGCGCGCTTTCCACTGACATCCGTTCAACATTCCGCCATATGCAAACATTTTCAGTAAACAACGCTCGGTTAACCAGACCCGTCGTTGAAATTGCGGTTTGAAATTTAAGACCGGATAAATGAGTATAAATAACGATTCAACGGTCCAAGGGAGATAACTCTAGTTAACAGTCATTCATAATCAGACTACATCTAATTTATCTCGCCTACTTTTGCTGAAAAGCATGAAAATGTATGCATTTGAATATCAGCTGGGCTTACTCAGATTTATGACAGAATGCGTAGACGTATCATTAATAATTGTTAAGGAGGACTTTGGACCTTCTAAATTCTTTGACCTGGGAAATGATGAAAAAGAATATTGTCTATTGGTACCTCTTCTTCATAGTCTTAGTAACCATTAACCTGCAGACCAATCAAAGTAACTATATCTGTAAGCTCAGTGGCGTTCTCTAAATCATTAGATGAAGGGCACAGGCGTAAAATCATAAGAAATTTGTAAGCTGACAGGGCAAAGCTGTGAATGATCCAGCAGATAGAGTGTTGGTTTATTGACACATTTGAACAACTGTATGCTTTTTCCATATGTGCCCCTCACGACATGCATCTCTGGCAGTATCTTCACAATGTATTACGTCTTCATTTTATAACTTGATTGCAATGGCCTACTTTCTAGTTTCAAAGAAGTTTGTGAATGCAGCAATTTGGTTGGATTGTACGCCAGCTAGTACAGCCAATCTGAGTCCTTGACAGAAAGACTGAAAAAAATAATTATGCAAGAAATCAAGGGCTCTGATTGGCTGTATTTAGGCGTACAATCCAATCAAATTGCTGGTGTAAACTGGGTTAATTTGAAATAAAATAATCAACATCAACATTCAGGTATAAAATCATTTATTATCACAAATTATTATCATCTGAACACATTGATATGAAAATATCAAAACAACTATGAAGTGGTATAATTATATACTAGTTAATATGCACTATATATAGCAGTGATAGGCTAAAAATAAACTTGAAATTTTATAAAAGCATTAAAATAGCACTATAGTACCGGTGGGTGGGTGACTAATTATTTAATAAATATCTAACATGGCAATCAAAAATGGTTAAAAATCCTAATAAAAATTGAAGCACTTTTTTATGATTAGCAAGCATTAAAACACAGGTAAACATAAACAAAAACATTTAACAAACAAAATATGTATCTAAAGTAGGTCAAAGATTAATATGCACATGCATAAAAACTTGTAAATCACATTCAAATATACAGACATATCATTAGATCTTGGATGTGCAAACATATCTTTGACCTACTTCAAATATAGGAAAACAGAAATTAACATCGACATGAACATTCTTTGAGCAGAGTTAATACTTGATTGAAGTTTTCAAAAAACAGGATATATCCAAAAATGATAATAATATGAGGAACTGTATCTAAAGGATTATGATTGGGATAAAACCATATTGTTTAAAATATCATGTTTTGTCGCACATTTTTACATGTTAAATTACACTTCCAACAAAACGACAAAATATTGAGAAATAATGTCCTGGAGGAATATACTGGTGGATAGGGAGGGTGTCTGGCGCTATTAGCAGGAATTTCAGGGGGAGGAATTAAAATCAAAAAAATTATCACAGTTCTATAATTAAATAACATATCTAAACTGAGCAGAATTTAGTTTCCATGGCAACCTTTTCCATGGCATCAACAATAACATCAGTAACGACTTGTTCTTCACATAAATTAACAAGGGTGTAAAAATGTCTCATGGCAAAATCATTCTGAAATTAAAAAATAATACATCATCTATCATGTTCATTTCTCTAATCCTTTGAAACATGATCTTCTTGGCAACTTCTTTTCTTTTGCATGAGACATATCTGTCTTAAATATTTGATTTGTTCCCAACAAATGGCAGAAGCAACGGTCCTACTGTGCATTCATTTAAACTTTTAAAAAAAATGTTACTGAACCATGTTGTTACTCAGACTTTCATTCTATGCAATCTTCAGACAACTGACCTATTATTCAGCATGTCTGCCAGTACCAAACAGCTTCAGTTCATGATTGCTTACGAACAGTAAATATTCCAGATCTAAATGAGTAGCTAGTTGAGTCGTTTGCTTGCGATTAGATGCCATGTGTGTAAATCCTCCCCAAGGCAAGAAAAATTCTTATGACACAGCCAGAACATTTTCGCGAGTAGACCTTGTCTTGGTTCACCCCCTTATGCACAATATATAAGAATTGATCAAGACATACCTGTGGAAGGTTCATACCAGGACAGACTGTTTTAAGGTGTTCTACCACTGTTTTATAACAGGTATGTTGAGTTAGAGGTCGTTTTAATGTAAACATCATCTGAGTATGATATAACTGATGATTCACTGCTGTAGCTATGATGTTTTTAAAGGTAGAAATAGTATTCTCTCTCTCCTGTAAATAATAATGAATTACGGTACTCTAATCCACAAAGTAGTAGATCATTTATGTTTTAGCTCCAAAAAAGATACATCAACAACTATTGAACATTCAGAACTTGGATGTTACTGATAAAAAAAACCATACTTACAGCAACAACAATTTCTAATTCATTTTCAATAGCTTCTTTCTCTTCTTCAGACTGAGCTCGAAGTAATCTTTGTTCTAGGATTGATAACTTTACATCTTCAGATTTTACAGCATCGAGCTAAAATCAATTAATAAATAATAATAAAAATGTCTCCATGAGTCTGTGGTTTCAGAAAAAGATTATTATGTCAGTATAACAAATCTTGAAACTTATAAACGTTATAAAACTTCTAAAAGTTATTATAGAACTTACATTAGGGTTTGGTACTTGAGAATTATCAACTGCTACAGCCATGGATTTTCCTTGGAATTCTCCAACAGTCAATTGACCAATTTTCTGTAACAAAACACACATTATATAGCATTATTGTATGTAAACTGAGCTTTAGGCTGATTTGTGTCTTTGTTAATTGTTTACTGGTCTGTCATTACATCTCAAGCTCTTCCTGAAGGAATGGTTTTGGGTTATTAGTAGTGTTGTCTAAATCATCACATCTCGTAGACCTGAAGCAGATTGAAAGTTCATCACAGAATTGCTAGTGCTGGGATTAGTGAACATGTCCAGTTTAGGTATCAGTATATGTTAATAAACATGACTCATAAATCTGAATTAATTGACTTGTTCTAAGAATGGGTTGGGACTGGGTTAATCTGTAATATTTTCTGTTAAACTAACTTACCAAATCACCAAACTCCATGACATGACTGGTGTTGGTTTCTTTCTTAGTAATATCAAATTGTTTACTTAAAGTTTCAGTGTTTAAATCTTCCTGTAAAAATATATAAATTAATAAGTTATAAATTATACATAAAATATACACTAATATCATCTTTAAAAAATATTTAAACAGAACCTGAAACATGTTGTTACTCAGAGTTTCATGCATTGCTGTCTTCAGACAACTGACCTATTTCAGTCCCTACTGAAGTTGTGAAGTTTGTTGAGTAGAATATATTTTCATATCTACATTTTGAGACATGATTGTTTAAAGACAGTTTAACACAGGTTAGATCATTTGGTTTTATTTGTGTAGGTTTTAGACTTGGTTTTCCATTGACAAGGACATAGTTCTTACATATTTCACTGACCTTATCAGAATCCTGCATCCACATAACAGAATAAACATCACCCAAATAGGTTTTTAAATGATTATCAAAATAACAGGCGTATGAAGATTCATGAGCATTGGCAGCAGTTGTAGCAAAAACTGAAATATAGAATCTCAAATTAAACAGAGGTTCAGTAATATAGAAAAGAAATATGTGGAAAAGGACATGAATGAGCAGATCAATATAAGGATGTATATCAATGAAGTCACACTGTATATTGGAAAATTCAAAATGAAGAAGAAGGCACAAGGATACCTTGTGCTCAACTCTATCTTTTAGACTATCATATATAGATATTTTAAAATATATTGGCACATATTCCAATTTTTAAACAATATAAGACATAATTACCATTAATATTATCAGGCAGTAAATCTCCAGCAAATATAGAACCTGATTCACAAGCTTCTACATAGAATACCAGCTGAAATAGTTAATAATAATACTGTCATATTGTATACTAAACCATTCTTGCTTGATACAGAATACGTTACCTTTAATACTGAAATAAAATATCTTTCTGATGGTGTTTTTACCATGGTAATCAGCCACTATGAACTATAATATGGGAAAAATGTCCATAGTTGCTGGCTAACTCCCGAAGGTACACCAATGTTGTATTATTGGCAGCTGAATTCTGGATCATAATCTACAAACTACATCATGACTGAACTCTGAGTAATCCACTGTCTTTCTACAATCAGCTCATTTGAACAAAAATTCAGAATACTGACCTTAGCAAACTTATTGTCTTTGGCCATCTTTTTAACAACTGGACTCAGTTGAGTTGCATGTAACTAAAAATAAAAAACAAAAATCATAGAGTGTCAAAATACGACTATACAAACTGAATTGCATTTAAATCAAGGACTATTTATAACAAAAATACCAATACTGAGAGCTAATAATGGAAGTATACCTCCTACAAAATAGACAAACATAGTTAGATATGGATTATAGTCAAAAGTTGGTTAACTGATGATACTACTGGCAGTTACACAAGGTTTAATTCTAGCCTAGTCAGACCCTTTGGTAGTTTAATTGTAAAAATAAAAGAATACTATGTACTTACAAATTCTCTGGGGAATCCCAAAATACCTGGTGCTCCATGATCAACAAAGTTAACAAATACATGATCATTAGGTCCACTGAAAATGAATATTGAGTTTTAATAGATTTGATCTGAGACAACCAGGTAAATCATAATACTAATTTTTACAGTAATATAACTCAGGATCAATTTCAACATCTTTCTTTTTAATATCCTGAGAGAGGAAAATTGGCCTACTGGACCTAGACTAAGATGTTAAAAATCTATTAAATCAAAATTAAACTATAGATAAACTAAATACAGTCATCCAGAAATAACAAGAAGAGCTCTAGAATATAAAACATACTACAAACCTGTTAATGACCTTTCCACTACCATTCATACTTTTAACAGCTTCTACATTTCCTTGTAAAACTTCTAAAAACATCTTAGGGTTCACTTTCTGTAATTTAATGATACAGAGTTATACATAATTGTAACTTTCTGAGAAAAATTAAAGATACCAGAAACTATATAGACTTCTGATTCATGATCACTGTACATTAATGAATAGGGTGCTTGAAAGGTAACATCCATTCAACAAAAGGCACTGTCACAGAGTTTAAGCAGTGTTCACTAATGTTAAGAGTAATACTGTTAAAAAAAAAATCTGCGCCAGTAATTCTAAAATAGACCTATGAATCATAAAGCTAACTATGATATTAGTCTTGAAGTGATTCAAAACAAATCAAAGTGAATTAAAGATATCAGCCTCCCAATCACTGACCTCATGAGTATAGTCTTTAGGTACACCAGGATAAACATTTGGTCCATTAGGTTGGTTGATTATAGATCCTTTATCGGGATTTCTGCAAAAAAAAACAATCAATATATATATAGATTTCACCTAATAGCGTTACCAGTAGCAACAGTATGCAAGTGACAACAATAAGTTCACCCTGAGTATAAATGAAATAAAACCTGATATCCCAAATAATATGACTTAAAGTGTGTGACAAATTTCTCAGGTAAAGTAATATGAGGCTGGTAAAACAGATGCTAGTGTTGAAAAGGTAATGTTTGGGCCAAAGGATAACCAGGCATTTAAATTATGAAAATAATTGCAGAAGTATGTAATCAAGCTTGATCAGCTGGTAAAGCAAATATTCATATGACTATAAGCTTATCACTCTTATAACTTATTTCATTTCATTTCATTTCCAAGTCAACTTACTCAATATTGTGTGCAATATCATCAACCATCATAACTACAATTCTTTCATCAGGGATTCCATGTTTCTTCATAATCTGATAGGCATGGCATACATCAGCCTGAAATTAGACATCAATCAGTTGTAAGTAACCTACCTTGTGATGTTTATTAAAGAAACTTGTATCACTTGCTTTGTTGTTCGTTATAATCAAGAGGCTGGAAAAATAAATCTACATCAATAAAGGCTACCCACCAACCCTGTCTAACTCAATTTCTACTTTGAGGTATATTTGAAGGGATTATGTCATATTTGTGCATTTCTAGTAGTTTCGAAGACATGTATTCAAAACCCAAATCAACCCTGGGAAAGTAGCGAACCATGGCCAGTAAAACTGTACTAGATCCTAACTGTCCAATAGCAAAATATTCAATGAAGTAACTATGAGATGAGTCCAATAGCTGTGCAGGGTCATTCAAGATGTAAATGAATGGAGACAGGTATCTTTCAAAAGAGTAACCAGGCACTTTCTGTATTTGAGACATAATTTTTGGGCAATATTAGATCAATAAGTTCCTTATATTTTCAACTTTTGCTTTATTCTGACTGAATTTTGCACTTTTGTTTTTCTTTTCTGTTGACAATTGAATCATTCAGTCTTTTTTATATCCGATCTTATTCAAACCCACAGATATCATAAAGGTAAATAACCTAGATAAGATTAAACATGATGCTTTTGGCAATATCAGGCCAATACCTTATATTTTCAACTTTTGCTTAATTCAGACAGCGGTACCTAATATATAAACTTGTCAACACAATGTCTCCATGATTTTGCACTTTGTGTTTCTTATCTTCTGAGAATTGAATCATTCAGTCTTTCTTTTTATATCCGATCTTATTCAAACCCACAGATATCAGGTAATTAACTTAGATAAGATAAAACACAATACTGTACAGTTATCATGTTATGTTCTGCCTCTGGTATCCTCTAAACACTTGGCTCAGCATGTTCAAATTCCTTTAACCTAGCTATGAGCTAGTCCTGGGTGCAAACCAAGGTGATATCAACTAAATTTTGTCTTATCTGTGATGTAGATTGGAGGGGATAACATGCATGTGTCTAATCATATGCAAAATGATATGCATAGCTGAAATTGAAATCTTTAGACAAATATTGCATCTCTCTAACAAATTCAAATCTGATAATCCCTTCCCCTACAAATGTCAAAAGTGAAATGAAAACTCTGATTATTGATTGTTGATGTAGTAATTTGAATATGATAAAGGCTAGAGGGCACAACCAGTAAACCAAGATATAGTCTACTTTACAGTCAATCATGATTGGCTTGAGATAACAGGTCAATGTCCTTATCGCGCTTTGAAGTTTACTCAATTACTGCCTTATTTTCATCAAGAACTCCCTCCTCTTTTCTTAATGCAAAAATTTCAAAATATGTAAATAATATTTTTATTTTTTAGTAATTTTTCTACATTGTCAAATAAAAGTGCAGTCAAGCTACATCAGATTGAAGTTTTAATGTGAATTTCCTATATTTAAAGCAGTCTTGTGTTTTTACTATCAAAATAAATAGATTTTTTTTAAAACTATGCCATTAATAGGACAGCTGCGCCATTTTATGAGGTTCATTTGAGTCTTAAATTAGATATTAATATGTAAATAGTCTTCAGAAATACCGTACTAGAAATGTACGAAAAATTGCATAATTTCTTCAAAAATATCTCAAGAAATGTTAATTTATATATCACAATGTTTGTATTTATACTGGTTCCTGTAACTCCACTTAAAGGAAGTGTTTTATGGCGTCACTAATCGCAAAATATGCTTTATCACATAAGACCCCTTTATAATCAAATGTATAATTGAAATTTAGTTAAAGGAACTCACTGACACCAAAACTATTATCTAGGTTAAAAACCGGGTATGGTGCCAGAATATTTGGACTGAATTTTATTGCCCAATATTTGTATTAATTAGAATGATAAATATACATTATTACATAGTGTGTGAATTTGGAAATAGTAATTCAAAAATTCAAACAAAAATTTAGACTAGGCTAGACTAACCCATTTTAATAAATAGGTCATGTGACCTAGTTGTTCTACCTAAATAAAAATATTGCCACTCTTCTTGTGGTACTGATAAAGTGATATTGTATTTATCTTAAAAAAAGTATAGAATTTCTGGTTAAAATTTTATGCAATGGAACGACATGTTTGCCCTGTCGTTCTCAGGCACAGAATGATAAATTATGATAGGAACAATATATATTCATTTATACTTATTATTAAGAAAACAAAGGAGATAAAATGGTTTATTGGTAAAGAAGTCTATTTCATATATGGATGATGGATTAGTCATTGCTGTACATACACTGTTTCACGTGATAGGCCTGCACATCTTTGAGGAAGTTGCAATATTGATTCATCTTGACATTTGTTTAGAAATGGTTTTTCCTGCTTTTGGTTTCAAGTTACATTTAAATGCTTATCATAATGAAAGATTGATGTGTCGTTCTTTGTAAATTTAATTTTTACTAAAGAAAAAAAATGTGATAATCATATTTAGATATTGTATAATAATTGATTTGATATAATATGTAAAATAAACAAATTGCATAAAATGAATAAATGGCCATTGTAATATTACGGAGTCTTTCTAACATGTCCTTTCTACAATTCAAAATAGAATGTTTTAAATTTCAATTAACAATAATTTTTAAAGAGAGGTAATAGAAATATTATTCTAAATAAATAAATCATTAAGTTGCTACATCCTCCCCCTAAAAGAAATGTTTCTTTTCTTGTTGAAATTACCTGATGCCTGTAATTGTAGTAACCGCTGGAACCAGCCACAAGAAGTGCCCAGTGTTTTCCATCTTCATTTGGTTTCTGTTCAAAAAAATCAACAAAATCGGCTTGAATTAAAACACAACAGGAAACGGCAAGAGCCAGAGAAATTAAAATTGTAGGTGCCATTATTATGATTCAAAGTGTAATAATAAACACTGCACGTGATTACTTCCTTTATTTACATTTTTAACTAAATATCCCTCCGCTAAACGGGCACCTGTCAAAATTATATTTCTTCAAAAACAATCCATCTTTAAAATCCTTTTATCAAGTTTCTTGATATTCGAATTAACATTGCTTTTGTATGAATAAGAACATGTTTCTAAATAGATTTAGAATAAAAACTGAAATGGTGGCCCGCCCTATTTTGTCCAGCGGACTAAGTAGATCAAATGACAGAGATTATAAGGCTAGAGGTCAAAGGTGAACCTTAGCCATGTGACTAAGATGACCATTTCTTATCACTGAAGTGAAAATATCGAATGTATTTTATCATATTATATTTTCACGTGATATGAATTGATGTGATTTGCTTTATTCGCACTAAATCAAATATATAGATATTATAATTTTGGACCAAATTTGAAGCTCTCTTCTAACTCTGGCCTGAGTCTTTTTGATACCATTATTGGCATAAAGGAGGACGTGATTCGCCATTTTCGGGGATTGATTCGAGTTTCGAATATTAAATATAATGATATATGTAAATAATCTCCAGGACGACTGGACAATGCACAAACATCGCAAAATCTCTTCTAAAATAGGACGAACTAAGAGTTTTACTTTCTATTTCTATATATAAGGCGGATTATCAAGACGAGTCGTCATTTTAACTTTGAAGTGCGGATTTGAATGCTCAAATTTCGAATGTGAGTTGTGAACACTATTACTGATTAGCTTAGCTAAAAACTTCTTGGATTAGTCAACAGATGGCAAACGGGAAGTTGATATTAAACTATGATAGGTCTTCTGATGATGAAATTCCCCTTAAGGACCCAAGCGAAACATAGGCCTAATAGATTAACAACGCATAATATAAAATGCGAAAAAAGAACGGATTTAACAGTTTAGACAATATTCAAATTTTGTGGAGGAAAAAGATTAAGAAATTATGGTACTTTTCCAAATATGAAAATTACGTCAATAGTGTTATTGTTTTCTAGATATATATATAATTGTATCACATTTATTTGCATCGGCAAAATCGAAATATAAAGGTGAAAATCTGACCCGAGCGTTTTTATTATAATGATAATAGCCTCCTCTATAATAGCTCAAATATTGGCTTATATCAAATCAGTGTATCAATGAGGCGTACTCCTTAAGTGGATTTCGAAATTATGAAGTTTGAGATAAAAAAACAAAAGGGATGGGGCTAAAATTCTTATCTTATCAGTCTAGTATCTATCATTCTGAATCTTAGTTTGAAGGCTGGCTTGATTGAGAGAAGCAACAGCAACATTACCTACCCTTCTCTGGTAGAGTGCAACATTTTTAATGTTGAAAGATATGCTATTGATTACTCCTTTGATTGAAGACACCATCATGTAAAAACAAAAACACGTAAAGGAGTCCGGAAACCTTGTATAATTTATCATTGGGCCTACCGGCGACTCGATTACAAGACATGGTCTTGAATAACATTCAACCCATGGAACCGAAAAGTCTAATGGCAGGTCTAAACAACTTTTGGCATGATAATCAAAGGTCATTCCAAACGTAGTCTAAGTATTGAAACATATACAGAATTTATTCCTTCCTTAACTAGATAATATAGTGGTTGAATTTCTTTAGATGCATGTCAGATCTTTATTTTTGAAGAATTTTGCTGTCGTTAATTCTCACAAAAGACTATTATATTTAACGACCACTCTTAAGTTCATCAAAGCTTACCGACCACTCCGATAATAAGAAGCTCTATTCAACCTCTTCGGGACATCGTGGGAATCAATAAATTGATGTGGTCGTTATAATCTATTCCATGAATGATTGCCTCCCATTATTTGATAATAAATTTGTATGCGTGTACATGTATGTATTTGTATAGGACTAGCGGTGATGTCAAATGACAGGCGATGATTTCATTAACGGGATGGGGTGAAGGGGGGCTATCCGAGCATTCCGGTTTTCCTTTGCGGATTTAATAGGGCACCATAGTCTTGGTGGGGAGAGCCTCACCCTGGAATTTTACTTATATGAGTACGCGGGGAATACACGATATTGGATGTGAAAGTAGAATCATGACAGAACTACCCCTTAAATACGTCACTGGTGATGTCCTAAATAACTCGGATAAGGAGTTCTGATAAGGCTCACTGAGCCAGACGCTTGTTCGCTTAGTCTACCCAAGGTCTAAGGTTCCGTCCATAGATCTAGAATGAATAATACCTTCTGATTATCAATCCGCTACACCCAGATAAAGATTTGAGGAGCAGACATGTTTAAAGCCTAATGTCGGTCGGATGAGACAGCAAACAGGGGCCCGAAATCGAAAAAGAACAGACTGGCCTTTACCCAAGCAAATATAATTATGATATGCACCATTTTGGGATAATAGTATATGCCAAGCATAAAATGATAAATATTAAGTCAAGTCTACTCCGGTTTATCGACAAAATAAAATAAATCATATTTTAATGAGTTATCAAATCAAACGGTGGGCCTGAATCAAATGCCATTTATTGCAGGCTACAATCCCACTCCCAGTGGCATTGGATAGCTGATAATGGCATTTACAGCGTGACGTCATTCTACACCATGTCGCCCTCTAGCGTTCAAACTTACTTCTAATGGCCGCCATGCTAAGATGATCGAAGACGGTCCGGGATCTCAACACGGAGGCCAGTTTGGCCCAGGAATCGGAGGAATAAATATGGTGACAAAACAACAACAAAGTGATGATGGTGGCCAACGTCCACAATATTCTATGCCCGGGATTTTACATTTCTTGCAAACGGAATGGGCTCGTTTCGAGATGGAACGTTCGCAATGGGAAGTTGAAAGAGCCGAACTTCAAGTAAGAATTTCAATGTTTTGTTTTCCTTTTATTTATATAACATCTATGTAATTTGAATTCTCGACCTGTGCTCAATCATATTGCAGATTGGTGCTATTTTTTGAAGGTCACGATCAGTAGTTTAATGGAAAATTTATTTTGACAGAATAGGTTATTGTGGCAGCCATTTCCAAAATGGCGGCTACTTCATTCATAACTTAGAATTGATAAAAACAAAAAATCTGTGTAGATAATCACCAATTATCGCAAATGACAATTAGTGAATTGATTGCCCTTTTGTTTTATTTTGTGACCATCGTAAGATATTCACGATTTCTAACAAAGGTTGAATAGAATTCCTGTAAAAATGATAAAAAAATTTGACAGATGTCAGTCAAGCCATTTTCACATTTTGACTTTTTTGTTTTTCCAATGGTTTTATGTAAGACCTATTTTAGGTATAGAAATATCAGATTACTGAATTGTATAGTCTCATTATATTTCATGAGATTGGTAATGTAATATGATATTTATAGCTTGCTATTTAACTAATATCTGGGTCACAAGATAAATTTATTTCGGTATGAATTGATATGAATATTATTTTAGATCTAATGATACAATTCATAGAATTTTGCTGCTGTGTAATCAATGGTTTTACATCCTTGATACAAAATGATTTTAAACCTGCTAATTTGAATATGATCAGCCAATTTTTCATGATTTGTACTACGGGAAGCATACCATACCGGTTACCTAACGAAAGGAATGAAATGTGCTACTCTTTTTTTTGGAAGAGGGATTAATATCATCATGGTGAAGTAAGCATGGTATTATACAGACAATACATCTAGCTAGGTACTGTCTTGAAAACATGCTTAGTTCTTAACATGTCAATAAAATCAATTGAAAATAGTTCTTTGTTTGATAGCACCATGCTTGCAACCACCTGGTGCCTCTGAGTTCATTGATGCATTCAATAAGCTATTTAAAATGATTATTGAAATTTTTATTCAACATAGGTGACTAGAACTAAATTATTGTCTTCTGTGACAATGGCTTTGATGAGTGATATATATAGACATGTTTTTTAACCAACATGTTGCATGAACCTGTGATTGTTGGTCCATAAAGCTATGTGTAAATGTTCCACTAGCAATGTTTCTAATTGCCTTAATTTTGAAGTATAAGCTTAATATTGTTGAATGCTGAAAACATTTTGGTGGTCCATAAAGCTGTATTTACCAGCCATAGAAAGACTTGATTACTGTCGAAGTTTGGGTGACAGAGACTAATGGCAAACTACTGACCAATAAGTAATACCGACTGTGAATTCTTTTAGCCAATCAGAAGTTGTGGAACATCAGCTATTTGGCATTTCATTCAAAGATGGCAGCGCCCAGTGTACTGAAAGTAAATAACTTGAACGGTGAAATAATGCAAAGAAAACAGAGATAAATTGTGAAAAAAAAAATTTTTTCAGGCAATAATTGGAATGGGGGATTAAGAGAGTAGGGCTTGCTTGAGTAACGTTTCTAAGAAAAATATTTTGATACTTGTGATAAGTTAAAATAAGGGAAAGTAGCCGACGAAAACTGGGCCAAATAGGACTTTTAACGGGCGGTTTTCGCCGGCTGCCGGCTACTTTTGAACCCACTGCTTGATGATACAAGAAAAGGATTATTGGGACCAATAACTGCCATTTACTGGCCAATTATCAATAGTATAAATCAAAGTTATTAATTGATTTGATTGTCATAATGTTAATTATTAATTACCTCATTAAAAACATCTGGTTTTAATTAATTCACATATTTAAAATTGGTACTGTAAGGTTCCATCAAGTGGTTTTTATTTAAATATTCAAACACAAAATACATTTCATTAGAACTCTATTGCCTTGGCCACATATGATGTAAATGTTTTGCCATAAAATTCTGTTGTAAACTTGAAAATATCGAGCAGTAGGTTTCCTTTTAATTGATATACTAAGGAATTAATTATAATATAAACCTTTGTAGACACTGAAACTTGAAAAGTTTTTTCAAGTCCAAAAGTTGAGAGTAAAATGTAGAAATTTAGTCACAATTAATTTTGTCACATGGCCTTGAAGATTGTTTAGTTTCAGGTTAGAATTGTAATAATATGAGTCATTAGAATAATTAATGAATCACAGTAGTAAAGGTTATCATATTGTAGAGATTTATCATTGACATAAGTCAACATTATAACATAACTTATTTATTTCTATTCTGTATTACTCTGCAATTGATGTATTAAGCACTATGAATTTAAAAGTGAAAATATTTTGTTGTTTTAACTTTTTATTTGGTTATGATGGGTCATATATATTCAATCAAGGTTCTGATAGTTTTGATGCCAAGAACAACAATGCAGACTAGTCTGGTCTTTTGAGAATAAACTTACAAATTCTGCATTCCTTTTGCTTTAAATTTTGGGGGATTTCTTTGAAGACTGGACAGGCAGAGCTTGAGGATATTCTTTTCATTTGTTTCCATAACTGTAATAAGTATTGGGACACGAATAAAAGTTTTGTTAGTGATTTGAACATCATTCTGTTGAATTAAGATCTAAAAAATGAATTATGCATGTGACTCATGAATATATCCTCGAGGAAGATGGTTATCATAGTTATTGTATATATTCAATACAAACTTTAATATCATGTCAACTGTCTACATAAGCCTAATCTGGATATAAAACTCTTTCATAATATCATGTATAAAGACCAGAGGTCAGCTTCTTAAAAACCGAAGTAAGAAAAAGATTTTGAGAATTACGGTTGTCTGGATGGTTTATAAAACTGAAATGACTTATGTGACTGTACAATAAGAAAAGCTCAAATTCTAGATTGAAGTAACATGGTGTATTGGTGATTTAGAAACGGGGGGGGGGGTCTATTTCTCTTAAATATATATCAGATAAAATCAGGTAGCAGGTGCTTTATTTTGGTAGGTTTGTGACTAGAATAGTAAATGTATCTTAAGTTAAGTACCGGTAAGCTTATTTGACAAACTACAAGGATGTAGATGGAATATTTTAAGAATAACTGGTTTTCTATCGACATTCTATTATATTATCTAACTGATAATAGTCTAGCTAATGATCTATTCACAGAATAAAGTTGAGATGAAGAAATTACACAGTTCCCTGAAAAAAGAAGCTTGTTATTATTTTTGAGTAGGCCTACTTAGAATGTTATAACCAAGTTCTTGAAAACAGGCTGACACGACAAAAACATAGTAAATCGGTATCTTTCTGTAATCATCATTTCCAGATGTATTGATAATTTACAAAGTGCTTGTAAGTGTAAAGCCTGACACGATTGTCAGACTTCCTTGTCTGCAAAATGTCATTTCATGTCAAAAGTCTTCAGTGTATATTTGCAAATAGGGCTTGTATCGACTACCAAATTGCCATCGCTAATTGACTGAATGCCGATCAATAATCAATTAATAATCAAAATATTTTAAGTGAGAAATCTTTTAAATATGAAATAAAAAATTTTGATTCCATGGATTATTTTTGTGTCATAGAAGTATTATTATTACTTTGATCGGTTATTTAGTTTAATGTGAGTAAGTGTTGTGCTGAAGGAAAACTATTCGCAAGAAATTATGACATGTTAACGTGTACACAGGAGAAATTATGTATTGATTAAGTATTTCGATGATCTATAATCAAAATTATTAATTTCTAGCGACGATAATCGATAATTTCTATTATTTTACCCAACTCTCTTTGCAAAACACATCTTTCTGAAAATATAACTTGTTTGAATTCAGAATAAATGCCTTATGCATTTACTAAAAGCATTTTAACAAAACTTTTTCTGTCCAAATCAATATAGAATACTCTATAAAACTCTAACAACATATTCAAGTTCTGTATTAATATTTTTAGAATATCGCATCAATGGATTCAGATAGCAATTGGTCGATGTGATATAAGATTGGTTTATCAAAGTGATTACACTGCCATTGACCTAATGATCTAGAATATAAATAAAGTTAGAAGTATAAATAGAGAAATTAGGAACATTCCTGGAAGCTAGTTCTACCATTATTGACTAAATAACAGTTTATTGATTGAAGGTGATGTCTGGATTAGTCAAGTCTTGTCTTCTCTGACAGAAAGTAATTTAAGTGATTTCCTACTTATTTGATCTCCCAAAACAAATATAGAATATAGAAAGAAATTTTCACACACGACTAGATATTCCACTTATTCTGTATTTTAAAGGTTAGATATAACAGACAGGCAAAAAGACCAAAATTTTTACAAATAAGCTTTGTCAATCGTAAGCTTATAGTATTTTTCATACTGATAGATGCACAAGTTAGATAGAAAGTTGAGGGTATCAAACAGAGAATCTGAGTATCTAATCCAGTCTTATTTGTTGATACAAATTTCAAAATTTTTAAATAAATGTCTGGTTGACAAACAAAAAGTCAACAGCCCTGTGCTAAACACAGCCCATTTCGTTGTCAATTATTAAGCTTTCACTCCTTAATTTTAAGACATAATAAGAAGAAAGGCAAAATGCTATATTTCTGTCTCTTGTGCTTTCCCCAAAAAAATGAAATACCTCAAAGATAAGATATATTTAATTTAGAATATCAATATGACGATGTATTATACATCTATTATACATGTTTAAATCATTTCAATATTATTATTTATTAAACTATTTAGTTCTAGTCATCACCAACATCTGCTACATCAAGTCAGGTTGTTTTAACGTAAATAACTTGTTTATCATACAAATTTCTACTTTCTGAGAAAATATCGTCTTCAAAAGCAATAATGTATTCAATAGCAGAGCCTTCTTTTTACTTGGCAAATAGTTTTAGGAATATATTGATATTTTAAAAAAAAAACTAGCTATAAATTTTTAACAGAAAGATTTATTTAATCTTCAGAGTAATAACTCTAGTTTGTTAGCATGCATACAATATTTTAGACAATTTCCTCCTAACACTGATACGACTCATAACCTTCAAAATACATCAGAGGAAGTATTTATAATACTTTTTAAGGAGTAGGAGAGATCTCAAAAGCTAAACTAAGATAAAAGTCAAGCATTTGAGTAAATATAGTAATTTATTTTATTGATTAATGGATGATCATCATGTCACAGTAGTGTAATTCTACCTTATGTATAAATAGCTTAGCTTATAAGACCCTCAATTACTCATTTCTTTCCAGATTATGTCATTGTAATTCTTCTTCATCTACTGGTATTTTGCCTCTTGCCTCTTAGATATAGAGTTTTGAAATGTCTCTTTAATTGTACTGTTTATATTTTCAGGCTAAAATAGCATTTTTACAAGGTGAAAGGAAGGGCCAAGAAAATTTAAAACAAGATTTAGTAAGAAGAATTAAAATGTTAGAATTTGCTCTAAAACAAGAAAGGTGGGTAATAATGATATTGTGTTAATTTATTTCAGTTTGTCGATATGGTTTTCTTTTGTTTTTGAGGTTTTCTTTTTTGATGACTTAGCTTAATATAATATGCTCATTGGAACAAGTTTCTAAAAACCGAAACTATATTATAAACCTACTGATTTAATGATCTGATGAGTTTTATATCAAAGGCAATGTTCACATCATAAAAGATTGTATTCCAAAGGGCAGACACATAAAATCATTGTTATTATTATCATTTATTTCAGAGGTAAATATCACAAGTTGAAATATGGTACCGAATTAAATCCAGAAGATTTAAAACCTCCTGTTTTTGACAAGAAAAATGAAGGTATGTATTGTCTATCGAAATGGTGCACAACTGGCACTCATACATAGATTTTGAAACCTCTTTACAGTCTCTTTAATGACACTTTGTATGAAAAAATTAAATGAATATTATACATATTGTAAAAATCACAAGACCATTGTTTTCCTAAAAAACATACCACAAATTAATGAAATGCTTAGTTTTCACAATGTTTTTAAAAAATTTTGTTTGCTGATATGAATATAAAAGAATTATTTACAAAATGTTTTAGCATCTGATGAATAAAAACGTAATCTTTGTGATTTTAGATGAAGTAGACAGTACTGAGATGTCGCTTTCAAATTCTTCAACAACCAATATCAATACATCGTGGAGACAAGGTAGACAACTCTTACGACAATATCTACAGGAAATAGGTTATACAGATACTATAATAGATGTACGCTCAGCTAGAGTGAGGTCGTTACTAGGGATACAACCTCACTCTGGAGACGATCACGAGTTACAGTCAGGCCTAGTTAATGGTGAACCACAACATAATAACAGAAATGACATCAGTAAAAGGTAGGTGGAAAATCTAGGATGAAATGGAATATCAAAATTACCGTCTTTTATATGCATTTTTGAAAATCACATGTGTATTTTGCTCCAACTTATCTACTAATGGTTGCTCTTGAATTCATGATATTTCTGTAGATTAGAAGAATGAAATGAACAATTTAAATTGTTGTGGGGAAATCTGAATTATGTTAATTTTTTTCATGGTTTTTGTTGTGTTTTCTTATTACTTGATTCTAGTATATGCTCTTATTAGAAAAGCAGAAAATATATATTTAGTAGAAAATGAATGATAGTTTACTTTGTTTACTCGTGCCTTTGATTATGAATGTTTTCAATGTATGTATTTATATTCTAGAAGTGGTGGTAAAAAGATGCCAATAGAAGGAGCGTTAATTGATACAGAGAATGCTGTCATGACAACGTTTGATTTCCTCCAATCAGAACATGTCGTAGATGATGAAGATGATAACCTGAGGTCAGAAAACGTTTCAAATCACGTAATCCAAATTTTTTGAACAAAATGTCCCTTGTAGTTGATCGTACATAAATTTTGAAATTATGTTAGGATCTACCAGACTACAGTTATAAGATAAAAGATATTTGTCTTGTTTTTCCAGTGATGAGAATGAAGATGGAATGGCTGCTGATGATGAATCTGATGAAAGACTGGAGAGAAAAGGAAATAAAATAAAGGTTTGTTGTTCATTACATGTAAATTTCAGTACTAAACATGCCAATCTTCACATATATCAGGGTCACAAGGGAGATACAAGTTAATCGTGTATTTTAATCTTGCTGACAGGACAGGTGAAAAACAAGAAAAGTTTTTAATGATATCAAGGTTTTTGAAGGAGTTCTTAATAGCTTGCAATGTAAATATTGTGTTTACAACTCATTGAGTTTATTTGTTAATTCTGAAAACTGTCACAAATAAAGAAAGATTAGCATCCATGATTTCAAATTCTGTATTTCTGGTTAAAGATTTTTCAAATTCTACCTCATGACCTTGATCTTCATGCCCTATATTTGACACAGTGGTATTTCAAACTAAACATCTATATTTGATAATAAATATGTATGTAATATTGTAGATGATAGGTAATGAAAGTATGGCTGGTATAGAAGATGTATTAGGTGATGCCGAGACGGAGGAAGCACTAGCAGAGTTTGATTTCCTGGTATCGGAGAGTGGAGAGGGCGCTGGGGAAGCTCGAAGCCAAGGTGACGGTATGCCGTGGGGTGAGATTTGTTGCCCGTTTTTACTCGTTTTTATTTCTTTTTTGATTTCACATTTTTTTCTTCCAAATGTGATTTTTGTGAATTTTTTCTTTTTGTTTACAAAGATTGAAGTTGTAATTTCCAAAACAAAAGAATAATCCACCATTTTTCTGAACTTTTGAGTGGAATCATTAATCAAATAAAATTGAAAGTTCATTATGTCAAATTAATTGTGTGATTTCCTTCCTTTCATCAAGATTTCATTGCGCATTTCAATTTTCAACAAATTTTTGAAATTTTAGCGTAATTCTGCTTCAACCTATGTAATGAGTTTAGTTTTCTAGTTTTTCTTTGGTGGATTTTGATGTTCACAGTTTTTACGAACCACCACGATATTGTATCATGTGATATTGTTCTTTCCTATTCTCTTCTCTGATTGGTCTATTTAAATGTTGATAAGCCAATGAAATATCACGGTAGTTTGAAGCTAATATCTAACAATGTACACCATCACATTCAACTTTCCTTTCAAGATTTTATAGACTTAATAGACTGGACAGACAGACTGAGACTTCCTTTTGCAGCTTCGAATATTTGCTAACAACCTAATTGGCTCTTGCGGCAGCTACACCCAGACTCGCTTCCTAAGGCTTCAGCGCAGATATGTTTAATTGATCTGACTTTTTCCTCACATGTCAGAACTTTTTTGATTTCTTTAATTAAAATCATATATTCTGATCTTTAATCTGAATCTTATGAAATTGCAGATGTGACCTTTTTCAAAACTCATCATTCAAAGTTCAGGGTAAAAAGTTCTCACATGCTGTTGATTTCAGCTGACTATAGGAAATGATATGAACTCCTTGATTAGGGCCTTTGACACTTTAACTGACATGGTACAAATCAGAAGACTTGGACAACCAGACTTGTACTAGAATCGAGATATTACGTGGATTTCCCTGTCTGTTCTCTAGCTAAGAAAGAAAAAAACGAAGAATGGGTCGTTAATCACAACCATCTGTCAAAATTGAAAGAACAGTATAAACAAGAGAGGAAAGGAAAGAAGACTAGTAGTAAGTGTCTACTTCCACCAGGGCTTTTATTATCTTGATTATCCAGACACTTAAGCTTTATGGAATGTGCAAGCAATATATCAATAGTCAATATACAATTTTGCTTATTCCGTAATTTCAGTTTTAATTTGGTTTTGGATCTATTGCTTTCTATCGGGTTTATTTTCAAATTTTTATATTTGCTAATCTATGAAATGGGATTCTAAACTTTCTGGCAGTTCAATTCTATGCTAGGAAGTGATCTTAATATGTGATAAAGCCAAGCTTAAGATTTTGGCTAATCCTACGGAATGTTTCATTTCTATATCTTGCATGTTGCTTCATAAAATATGGAATGGCATAGCTTGATATTATCGGAATGGCTTCAATTTTTTTCTGTGATATAATCTATACTAGGAATGACAATATATTTATATACCCCTACATTTTAAATTATAACCACAAGCCAGTGTATAACTATGATATACTAAAATATATAATCTATACATTGATATCAGTGGAATGCTACTTACTGTGATATAAACCTGCCTCCTTCAATGGCTGCTGTCGAATTAGAAAGACTCTAGTAAAAAACATGATTTTAGATTTTATTTTATAATACCTAAATTAGTATATTTTTCAACCAATAGCCAGACATGCTGGTAAATTCAGTCATAAAACAACCACAGAAGTAAACATCAATGATTGTCTAATTTATCAAATGAGTTGCATCAAGTTAAACATTGAATATTTAGTTAACATAAAGCAGAACTCAATCATAACCAAAGATATCTATGAATTTGTAGGACCATCCAGATCATCATTACAAGCAATGTTGGCCAACCTGAGCAGCTCGGATGATGATAGCCCAAATAACAGTCCGAATAGTTCACCACGGGCTGACAAATCAAGTTCATTTAATAATCAGACACCAGATGTCACTGATGAGTTTGGTAGGAGCCAAATTCTTTCTCATTGGCCGATATAAAATCTTCTAAATCTTTAAAATATCATTTTAACATGGAGACACAATTTTCTTGTAGCACAAATAAATGATTTTTTAAATGTACTAAAACCAAAAGTAAGAAGAAACTTCAAACTTTATGCTCTGTTAATGCTGTTAAGCTTGAGGATTTGAGATTCACCAGATTAGGTCACTATGTATGACTACATTTTTCTAAAAAATTTAATGGTGTAAATTGTTACGTAACTAAATAATCTTTGAATTTCAAAATTTATGAGCAACAGCAGAGAAAATTGTGTCAATATGTCAAATTTTGACTTAAAGCTGGACTCGAACGAAAAAAAGAACAAATAAAATAAATTTTTAAAATCTTTGACTTTTAAATGTTGTATGCATGGTTTATTTTCTTTTTTGCATGGTTTTATGTTAAATTTTCGTTGTTTTAAGCTTCATTGCAGTTTTTATGTTGGCCAAACAGTCAGAATCTTTTTTTTTTTTTTTTTTTTTTCTTTGATACTAGGGGGTGAATAGAACATCCGTAAAGATGGCTCTTCTGTTCACTCCCTTGTATGATAAAACAATCCCTAAATCCCTTCTGAGAATTTTTGCTTTCATCGTAGCTTATCTTTCATTGTTGCATTTTGAAGATGCTTTCAGTGTCTTTTGACCTGTGACCTGCATGAATATTGTGACTGATATTGTCATGATTTACCCACAAATATTTTTATAGGATTTTGATGATTTCCAAGTAACAGCTTCAGAAAGAGGAGTTTTTAGTTCTTCTGTTTTTTCCTAATTGGCACTCTATAACTAATCTTACTAATATCACTTTCTGAATTACATGTTTCCAAAAATCTTCTGTTGAGAGTCTGACTGAGTTACTCAAATCAAGTAATAATCTTACCAAATCTTTTCTGATTTTTTTTAAGTCCCAGAAGTGTATTGGTCCCATCTATGATATAACACTGCGATTTCTTTGACAAGACATCTGATTTAAAGGTGCCCTCCCACCATAGCAATCACCAGTTGTGTATGGTAATAGATAAGAATACCTGTCATAAGTTATTCGCAACGGATGATCGCTATGGTGTGAGGGCACTTTTAATCTAATTTTGGGAAACTGGTACTCTTCATCCCGATAAAAATGAACAAAATCATAACAAATCTTTATAAATTTTTATAGCAGTTCAAGGTAATAACTCAATGCAGTTTGGGATATCTAATTCACGTAAACCAATGGGAGTTACAGGAGCTGAAGAAGATGCGTTAGATGCAGCGTTAGGATTAGGAGAATTAGCAGGATTAACAGTAACAAATGAGGCTGATCCATTAAGTTATGATGTAAGAGGAATAGTTTTAAGTTTTGTATACCATCTATTCTAAAATAATCACAGGTTTAGAATAATGTACAGAAAGGTTTTCATTATATTAATCTACAATATAAAACCACAATCTATATTGAGATAAACCAAAAATATCTAGTGTATCCAAGCCTGAAAGTTGGTTTAAATTAGATATAATAATGGATATATGGAAATGTAGGATGATTTTTAAAGGTTCAAGATTTACTGTTAAAAGTATTTGTAAAAGTTAAAGTTTCATATTATTATAAAGCCTATGTGATTGTGAAACAAATTGATAGGAATGGAACTTCAAACTTTAAATTTCATTCTTGTTTTATAGATTGCAGCACCAAAAGAAGTGTTTAGAAAAACCTGGAATGCTAAATACACATTACGTAGCCATTTTGATGGTGTTCGAGCGTTAGCGTTCCATCCTGTAGAACCAGTCTTAATAACAGGTTCAGAAGATCACACGCTTAAATTATGGAACTTACAGAAAACAGTACCTGCTAAAAAGTAACTTTTATAATTTATCACTTTATCCAAACCCATTTACACCTGGGTTTACTGGAGTCATGAGGAAAGATGACGGATGCAATGAGAAATATCTGTTTACCTTGAATAACTCATTATCCTAGTCTACTCAGCTATAAATGGGACTTGATAATCAAAGAAAAATCAGTGTGAAGAGGTTTATCCAAGCACCAGCTGGTGGAAAGGGTCCTTGTGAACCTAAATTGTTATCCTTGTAAAAAAGTGGTTGTTTCTCACTCAATGATAATTTGTCAGAAGATTTTTATAAAAGTTAAGTGATACGAATCTTATGTTATATAATATGACAATAAGAAATAACCCATTAAGATATTTATATGTTTAGTATTAGACCAGTAAAACATGGCTTTTGTCATCTTATCATTGGATACTAACTGTACACCTGTGAAATTATATTTGTCCCTCCCTTACTTTTCAGAACAGCGTCACTAGATGTAGAACCAGTATATACATTTAGAGCCCATGTTGGACCTGTATTATGTATAGCTATTAGTGGTGATGGTGAACGTTGTTATAGTGGTGGTATGGACTCTACAATAAGATGTTGGAATATACCTAATTCTAATATAGACCCTTATGATTCTTATGGTAGGTCATTTTAATATTTTTGTCGTCAAGAAAACAGTAATAGTAATAATTATAATACCTAGTACTCTTCACTAGTACTTATCTATAATCTATGTGGCTGTCTCTCGGAAACACAAGCTTACCTTGAGGAGGATTGGGTGATATGAGAATGATATTTCCATAAAGGAGAGCTGTTAAGTTTGGTTTAGAAAGTATATTTTCAATCCGGAAATAAGGAGTGGTTGTTATCTGGTGTTTATAAAACTTTTGTGTCTTACTATATCTGGTTTTCTAACAATGTTTGTCTATTTCAGATCCTAGTGTGTTACAAGATACATTACGAGCTCATACAGATGCTGTATGGGGTTTATCGATACATAGTAGTAAATCTCAGTTATTATCGTGTTCAGCTGATGGTACCGTGAGATTGTGGAATCCTGGTACTAAATCACCTTTACTCAATACTTTCACTGTAGATACAGGTAATTGTTGATGTATAATATAGTGCTAGGTATTACCAAGTATGCCGCAATATAGTTTCAAACAATTTCAGTCAAGTCAGTTAAAGCCATTTGTGATTCTATTGGCTGACTGAAACAAAATCCCTATTTCGTATGGAATGAGAGATGTTGTCAAGTATCATTACCATTCTAGCGATACAATATGTGTATTGCGACTCTCGTATAATTCAAGCACGTTATGTATATGACTATTGTTGGCTCTATCCTTGCTACAGGCTGTTCATTTTAAAGATCTCAAAATTAGCATACTGTTGCCCTGCAGGCATTATCCATCTTCATTATTCTGCAAAAATTAGGGTGTACCAATATCAATATTTTGATTATAGATGATGGGGTAGCTACTAGTGTAGATTTTGTACGCTGTGATCCCAGTCAGATGGTGGCTAGCTATACATCCAGTCATACCTATATATTTGATATTGAAACTGGTAAACAAGTTATTAAACTAGAAACTAAACTTAATTCTGGTAAGTATATAGTCTTTATTTATTACATATTTTCAGTTGAATATTTGCCTTCTAGAGTTTTCACGAGCTGTTAATTAGATACTTGAGCTCTACGGAGCAGTGAGAAAAATTTAGGTTATTGGTTGGACAATAATTATGAAGGAGGTTGGAAAGACTTTTTATAGAAAGAAAATTTCAACAACCAAGCTTTTCACGTTCTATCAACTACTTAACTGCTAAGACCTTGTGCTTACTATTTTATATTGTATATTTTCAGATTCCAGTTCATCGAATCAAATTAACCGAGTTGTCAGTCACCCTACTCTTCCTTTAACTATAACAGCACATGAAGATAGACATATAAGATTCTTTGATAACAATACAGGTAGGTTAACAGGTGTACAGGGTACACAACTTATAGTCAGTCATAATAATAACTGGAACTAGCCTTTAGTATTTTTTTTTTAATTTACACCTTAATTTTGCTTTCAAGATTTGATTGATAGTTTTCACTTTAAATTGATAAAAAATCCACCAACTTTAATTAAACTTTAATATCTTAGAGCTCCAATCAATCAAGACAGTCAAATAAAGTAAAAGTAACAGCCCTGACAGTCCCAAACTGGCATTCTGTGATCATTTTTGGGTTGAAATGCTTGTGAGAGTGGAGAAAATTCCTATACGTTGATGTAATCCAACATTCATTCATTCATTCATTCATTCATTCATTCATTCATTCATTCATTCATTCATTCATTCATTCATTCATTCATTCATTCATTCATTCATTCATTCATTCATTCATTCATTCATTCATTCATTCATTCATTCATTCATTCATTCATTCATTCATTCACTCCATTATTGCAGGTCAAATAGTACATTCTATGGTAGCACATTTAGATTCTGTAACATGTTTAGCAGTAGATCCAAATGGTTTATATTTATTATCAGGAAGTAAGTGCCATGTTTTTATCTTTTCTGCATTTCAAATGCAAAGTTTGAGTTCAGGTTGTGAAGGGCTTGATATTTCCTCTACACAGGGACAAGGCGTCTCTTTCTAAAACTACAAAAATATATTGAGAAACTGTGGTCTGATAAAGAAGGGGCATAAAACTGTAGATCTGCGTCGAAATATCTAACTGATATGACTGGTCAGGGCGATAACTATGATATCATCATTAATGCTAAACATAGAGACTGGATGATGTTTATTTCAAAAATTTTATATTTTTTTTCCAGGCCACGATTGTTCAATAAGATTATGGAATTTAGATAGTAAAACTTGTGTACAGGAAATTACTTCTCACCGTAAAAAATTTGATGAATCTATACACGATGTAGCCTTTCACCCACAGAAACCCTATATAGCTAGTGCTGGTGCCGACGCGCTGGCCAAAGTTTTTGTATGAAACAGTATACTCTAGATTTTAGGAATAAATTTAAAACTATTTGTTTTGCTGGTTTGTTGAGATAACTAAGGTAGAAATGATGTTGTGTTTCTGTGTCCCTCCATTCTTCATCAATCTAGCCGTCAAATTCTATAAAAATCTTGTGTGGACTCTCTTAAATAAAGTAACGAAACTGGAATCCAGAGTACAGTTGCAGGAAGTTGGTGCTCTGAAATCAGAGTATTCTTACCGGACTGGTCAAAGTGCTAAGAGGACTAAAGCAACAGCTGGAAAAGGAATGACATTGGAATTGACCATCTCATCCAGAACTTGACAATGAATTGAAAAGATCTTTTACAAGAGTAGTACAGTAAACCTCTCTAAAGCTCTACCAGAATGCTATATCAGGAAGGCACATAATCATGCATGATTCAAGTCTGAGAAAGAGAGCTCTGAAATAGTACCTTAAATTTTTGGAATATGAGCTTAGTTTTTCTAAGGCATCGATGTTCAAAGATATATGCCTTGCGTAAGAGAGAAGGTACGACTGGGGCTTCCTGCTGATTTCCTTGCCATGACTTTAGAGAGAGAGTAGAGATACATGTAGAAACCTGCTCTGTGACATAGAGACCAGGTGAGCCAGAGTCCAGCCTCAAATTTTATCGCACCAATATTAAATAAATGGCAAAACATCAAGAATGGCAATCCATACAAACCAGACCACAATTAGATCATACATCAAGCAATAACATAGAAGGATGCAAAGGGAGAGAACTTTAAGAAGATAGGTACAGAATTGGCAGTCTTGACAAATTAATTCTACTCTTAGACAGTCTTGAAATTTCTTTTTTCTACCAAACTAGCTGATATTTCTGGATAGTAAAAGCACAAAGAATAAAATCATGAGCATTATTCAGAATTTCTATTTCTTGGTTAATGAATTTATTGTAAGTTGTAAAACTTATGACTAGTATATCCTAACAATAGAATAATGTATTTTTGGCTCTTTACAGTTCAAGAACAATTAAATTCTTGTATTAAAAAATGAAGGACCATAACTTAGCAAATAAAGTAAAAAAACCTGTCATATCAATCACAATTTTCTGTATCTTTCTTCTCTAATATTTAAATGAAGTTAAGCACAGAAAGAATAGAAAATGAATATTAAAGTCTAATATATTATAATCTATAGTGAAATATAACCTTGTAAACATTGTATTTAATTTGTATTATTATGTATCATATCTTTAACTAATTATTGAATAACTAGGTCATTTGAGCCATAATTCAGAGCTTAAAGCTCAGTTCAGAGGTACTTCTTATTGGCAACAGGCATTCAGACATAATATAATTTCATTCTCTGATAATTAACCAAATTTTCTAGTAATCCTTGTGACAAAGCAGCTAAAACTAAGAACTCATAAGCTTAAAATTAAGCTAGAACTTAGTTTTACTAAGTTCATAGTTATTGCTGAGTGGCAACGTGATATGATATCATTCTCTGACCAGTTAGCAATATTTGCGACTAAGCAGCTATGAACTAAGAAGTCTGAAGCTTACATCTAAGCTAGTACTGTTATCAAATGACCTATTTATTTAAGCCTACAAATTGTAAATAAGCCTGTAGATTACCCCCCTTCATTATCATTATGATGTCGCAATTTCTCCTAGTGTTATGCTTTCGTTTACGTGTAGACTTTTTCGTTTGTGGAGCATTTTCTGTTGCTTGGTCCTCTAATGAAAATGTCAAACTTTAGTCCAGAACAATTTCAAGCTATTCTTCTATAGTAGAAGAATAGTCTGGATTAATCTAGACTACTATTACTGCATACACTTGTGTTGTGATGAAAAGCATGTGTGTGCATGTCGGAATGAAAGATGAAATATCAAAAAGTGTATTTTAGTCCTCAAAATGAACTAAATATCAAAATAACAAGGTCACTTTGAAAGGATGTAAGTTTGTATGGCGCCTTTGCTTTGTTCTGCTAATAATGATGCCAAGGCTAATTCTAAATCTTCAAAGGGACACTACTCTGAGTTCATTTCAGACCACAATTAACTTTGGTTTGGATCAAATTTGATACAAAGGAGTAATTTCCTCTTAGGATTATCATTCTTTTGTTAAGAAAAATTGAATTGGGTAAATTGTAAACGAGATTATATGTTCCTAATTAATGTTTGTCATATATCAATCAGGGTTCTTGATTTGGTTGTATTTGCCAGTCATTTATGATTGCAGCTCTTAATTTCTTCAGTCTTTTTATTTATGGTATGAATTTATTATTTTGATTCAGGATTTCTATTCGAGTACCAAAGATGAACAATATTACTCATGAATTCCATATGAGTAATAAATAAATAAAGTAACTCTGCTTTCTCTGATATCCAGTATGTTAGAAAGAATAATTAATAATACAAGAACTTGATTTATTTCTCTGTTAGCATGAAAGTCCTTTTTTGTAGTTAAGAACAATTTAAGGGATGTATTATCAGCCGAAGTGTATTATATATTAATATTTTTAGACCAACAACAAATTTATCTTTCGTATATATCATTGTGGATACTTATCCTGTTATTTCTAACAGCGTGATTATGATGAGCAACAGTGCTTTATTTCGTCAAAAAAATTATGTGCCCATTATCAAATTAACTGTGAAGATTATGTATTTTGTTTTGATGATATTTTAGAATTTTAAATGAGCCAATATGATTGATTAATAAAAAATACTTCATAAGAAAATATTTGCTGCCATTTTCCATATTTGAATGACCTCATCGTCAGATCATCCAAGATGTTAAAAACCCAATTTTCAGTCATTAATACATCCCTAACAATTGTAAATTATTTATTTTAGAACCAATGTATATAGATTGTGTATTGTATAGATAGTTGTCATGGCAATAGAAATATAATTTACCATAACAACGATATTGTCGTCTGCTAGCTTGCTATCCCATAATCCCTTGAGTTATCCCTTCATACAAATTAAATTCGATCACATGCTAATTTATTCATATTGGAATGGATTATGAATTGACAAGCAAACTCTATACTGCTTGAATACTTGGCCCAAGTTTAGGTCAAAGGCTGCCTTCCATACACCAGTATAAATTCCTACCCATTGACCTCTAAAAGGAATGATTGAATAGCCCTGATTGAATGTCTTTTGAAGAATGAATTGATTTGCCAGTGACTTGGTTAGTGAATATCATAGGATATCATTTTCTTTGAAAATACTATTCTGTATTGGCACAGCACAGCCTAGGGAACAGAGCTAAGCGTCTGGCCAAAGTTTGTATTTTCCGTGCCAGACAAAAGTGGGAATTTTAGGGTCCAAAAGCAAAGTTACTAACAATTGACATTTTGTACTGAATACAGCTAAATTCTAATTAAACCAGTTTTAAATTCCTGTTGCATGATTGGATAAGATTAACCTTCATCCAATCAAATCAATACAAATATTTAAATCATTCATATGCAATCATTTTATTTTAGTTGATATACACGGCATGCTTACTCTTATAGAATAGTTGGGTTTGATTTAATATAATCATGTTTTGTTTCATTAAGAAGATAAAATTATTGAATGTCATTCATAGTATCTGATAATATAAGTGAAAAATATATTTTGGCATAATTTGTTGTGTCAATCAAAAATTAAGTTCATCAAATAATCTTTAATCTAGTGTTTATACTCCCCCTGTATTTAGACATCCCTGTCAATAGTTCATTATTATTCAGTATATTTTATCAGAGGGCGTAACAATAATTAATACAAGAGCCATTAGTATTTATAAATTAACATGTGATACATTAAAAGCAAATCCAAATCTGATTGGAGGATTATTGGGCCCAAATCACAGGCATTAGTAAAGTTAAGGTTGGCTCAAGTCGACTTGTCAATCATTTGAAGCATTTTGTTGTATCTCTTACAGTTAACACGAGTCAAGAGCTCATATTGGATAATCGACCAACTCTGATTAGGGTCAGACTACCAAATTCATCTTTGAGTAACTGTACAATCCAGCAGACTAAATCCTAAGATAGATCAGATTCTCACAGTCACACAGTATCTAGACACTTTCGATTCTGCCAGTTGCAAGGTCGACTTGATTCCCCTTTAAAAAACAATTGCATATTGAATTAATTCTACTAATGCCTGTGTTGTGAAAACGAAATGAAAAGAAGTGAATGATAGAATAAATGGAGCATTGTTATGGAAAATGCAAATGTCTTGAAGAAGTGTGCATATCTATGACACCCCTGAATTCGTTTTGAACTTTTCCACATGCATATTGTATTATGTATTTCATTGAAGAGTTCATAAACAGAAAAGGGGTTTTGTAGTATGCATATACTTTACAAAGGGCTAGTTTCTGGCTGTAAGTCAAGGATAAGGTTATTTTGAAGTCTGCGCTTAATATTATTTAATATCTTTCAGTGGCATTGAAACATTGAACTTTAACAAAGCTGGATATAGTGTGCCGGTCATCTCTTTGACACCCCTCAACTTTCTATTGAACTCTTCCACACATGCATACTTTCTATCCAAGTAAAATCTGTATGGTTAGCTTCATAGTAAAATTTGGGGTGATTTTAGTTGCCTGTCTAATTATATCCAGCCTTAAAAATATTTTATGGAATATCCTGCAAATGTTCTGGAAATATCATAACCTCGAAAAAACAATTTACATCTAAATCCTGCAAAAAAATTGAAATGCAGGAACAAAGAAAGACAGAAAATTATCTACTGATGGTAGTCCATAAGTTATGGTCCTATGTTTTAATGAAGTTCAATGCCTATATAATGCTCAAAAGGCCTCAGTAGGGCAGCGAATGCAAATAATGCCAAATGAATTCATTAATTAAAATGGAATGTAATTAGACCTAGGCATTCTCATCTTAACAATGTCAAGCTATTACAAACTATTACTGTGTCTTATACCTTGACTGCAATAGCCACCTTTCTGTCTGGACTCTTGAGTGGTTGTATTCGCTAACGCTACAATCCTACCAAATAATTGCATTTACAAACTTCTGTGATACAGGAAAGTTGGTTATTGCAGTCAAGGGATAAGACACAGTTATTAATAAGTTGACATTGTGAAGATAAGGTATCCTGGGAAATGTAATAGAATGACTTAATGATGGAATGAGATTGAAATTGTATGATTCACAGTTTACTGTTTTTAGTTTTTTGTTTATAGCTACATTTATTTAATCAAAAAAATGAAAAAATGTACAGTTATTTATTTTTATGTCTAGAATTATGAAGAAAAACAAAGTTTTTAATATGATCTGATATTTCTTTAATGTATAAAAGGTAAAGTGACATGACCAAGGAAAAAAACCTTTGACAAATAAAGATTCTGTACAGTACAACTTATTTAATTGTAACCTATACAGTCAGAGATTCTTCCTTATTGTCACTTTACAGTAGATTGCATGGATCATCTATGGATGACCATCATGAGCTTGGCAGCTTTGCTAATCTGGAAATTCAAAATAGGAAGCCTAATTACTAATTATCTAAGTGGTTGTTAAACTATTTTTGTGTAAAATACTTAATTTAGTAACTTATACACCTGATGATAAATAACAATAAAAACTGTCAAATCAAATATATTATTGTTTTTCTACATCAACAAAACCTGGTGAAAAATTTTGGACCTAGTCCAATTCAGCTGTACTCTTCTAATATATAGTACTATTAATTTAGTGAAAGTGTCAAGATGCCTCTATACAGAGGAAAAATACATATATTCACTAATGAAAGGCATAGGTGCTGCCCTTCAAATTTTATGAGACACCCAGCAAACTTGTGCTCAGAGTTTCAAACATCTCTGTCCAACTGCAATACTGTCTCAATCTCTTTCAACTTTTTATGGATAATTAAGTTACTCATACGATTTAGGACAAACAGTAGCTCATTATGTGCACAGAATAGCAAATCCCTATCTTGTTTTATTAGACAGTTTCTACTGTATGAAATAAAGAAACCGGTTTGAAGGTAGAGTTGCGCCCCTTCAATCAAGGGAAAAAATGGCGACTTTCTGTCAAAGTTTACAAGAAATCTTGAGAATTAATGTCTCATTCGCTGTAATGTAGCTGAATTTGTGATGCCTGCTGCTGAAACATCAGAAAAATGTAAGTGAAACTGAAATCAAAAGAAAAATAACCAAAAACTCAGTTTTATGACTGAAAAAAAAGATGGTTATTGTTTGTTTACATTATTTTGGTTTGTTGACAATTTTGATGTTGAGGAATGTGACCCTTCACACCTCTCCTTTGTTGAGTTTTGTTGCCCTTTAGCTATGTCTTTTAATGTCTGTCTTCTCTTGTAATTGTAACAGAGGATGCTTATGCAATTGCATGCTGTAGACTTCACTGAAATAATGGCAAAGCATAGATATTCCTGCTGAAGAGAAGCTAAAACTTTTTTTAATGGATGATATATCCATATAGAATACCCAATTAAATTGGATTGATTAGACGATTGGGATAATTATATAATAAATAACAAATTGATTTGATGCAGATATTTTAGTAAATTCAAGAAAATGAAGGCTTCATTTGCAATCAGAAATCTGCTAGTAGCATAATATACAACCTAGGCTATATAAGCTATCAAAATAAAAGATTTTGTGAACACTCAGCAGTTTTTGTCAAGCTGAAACCAATTTGGTATCGAAAGGAACATACCCTTGTTATCTATGTCTTTCAATGTTTTACCACTTATTGTTAGGTGATTGTAATATTAGATTTCCAACCTCCTACTGCCAGGTCTATTTGCGTTCTCACAAATGCTTTATATGAACTGTTTTGGTAAAAATAGCAGGATGATGATTTGAATATAACAACCATAAACTCATTACTATTCTTTCTTCCTCTTGCAGAATCATTCCTAGCTTTCTGGAGTGAAAAAAGACGATAGACTCTAAATTCTGAAGATGTAAGGAGACTACAAAATTCTACACAGCACCAAAACCTACTTAATTATGTGGTTGTGATTTTTATTTTTATGTTTTTATTTCTTCAACTGTGATATATATATTCCACCATTTATAAAAATGGCCGACAACGATGCATTCCAGCCAGTCATTATTGGCGATTCCAGTGAATTTTTATCTCCCACACGAAAGGGAGAGAAGCGTGAGTCTTTAGATGTTGATCTCGCTCCAAAACAAAGACTATCAAGAGTTACTTACCCTGATCTTGACAACCTCGTTAAAGACACAATGGATAGATTCTCAAATCTAGAAATATCAAATCAAACATATCGAAAACATTCTACAGGAAATCGTAGCCAATCTGTGAGCTCTGAAGACGTTCCACCATTACCCAAAAGACCTCCACCTCAGTCCTCCAAATCATTCAGCTTTTCTGAATCGTCATCTCTAACTCCATCTAGATGTGTCGTCACCGATTTAGATCAAGCGATGCAGCAACGTGATGAACAAAAACTTCAAGCATTGTTCGGAGATAATCTTCCAAATAAATCACCAAAGGAAAACACTTCTGAAAAGAAAAGCAAAAAAACCGTACCAGATGATGAACTTGAAACAGACTTAGATGACATAGGAGATGATTTTAAACTTTCTAATATTCTAACAAAATCTCCAGCAGAAGAAGTGAAAGCTTCTCCAGAGCCAAAGCCAAAACTAAAAGCTGACATACGAAAAAAAGATTACTTTATGCCGACTGAAAATTTAGAAGATGCTGTAAAATGGCCTGAAAATTGTCCCAGGATTCTTAGATTTGGTCAAAAAGAAGTTTTTGAAGGTAGGTTATGACTTGAATTTTGAAGTTGAGAAAAAATTATCAGTTAATTAAAGCAATTGAAAGGTTCCATATCATTCCATAAAAAAATCAGAATCACAGAAATTTTTCTAAACTTCTTACAATACTGGTATAAGAGTAGTTAACCACTCCTATCAACTACATTACCAAATATCACAGTGACTAAGTTATGTATTATATATATGTTAATTTTTATCCCATTACTCCATATGGCAATACACATCTTATTTATTACCCTTGTATCGCAATATGTATCGGAGCATGACTGGCGATATCCATCATTTGGGGTTATACACAACCTTGACTAAGCAATAACTGCTTCTCTCTTGGAGTCTACACGTAACTAAAATGTTATATTATTATTCTGTATTGTAGGTCAGATGTTATTACGATGGTTCAGTTCTGCTATTTCTAAAGATCATTATTTACATTTGATCTTAACTAAACATGATATCAGAGTTATCTTCTCTCAGTTTACTACCTATTTATTAGCTGCTGGTGTTATATGTGAACATGATCCAGGTCCGCTCCATACTGTTTTTAAGGTAATTATATTGAATTTTCTAATATGTATGCAATGTATACATTTTGAAGTTTAGTGTTAGAGATCTGGGCTATATGATACATATTAGAATTATTGGAATATATCACTTTATGTCCATGGTAGATTAGATCCCCTTTCATTAACTCCCTGAAACAATTGCTTTATATTTTTGAATTATTTGTTTATCTTGTAAATCTCTCCAGAAGTAGGTAATTTTCTATCAAATTGATGTATTCTAACGCTGAAATCCACAGTCCCTATTTGTGACCTAGGCCAGTGCTTCTATAAGAGAGTATCTTATACCAAAAAATTTTTTTGAATGATCTTTTGCATTAAGAAATTCCTTTTACTTGAAAAAGGGTTTGGTCTGAGGGAATTTGTAAAACTTAAAATTTAAAAATGTCATATTGCAATTTAATAGCTTATATTGCACAGCTGAGAATATGAATCTCACAAACTAATAATGAAACCAGTTGTACACTTACCTCTCTTAGAGTTCACATTCCTCAAAAATCGTACAATAAGAATTTATGAAGGACTCATGTTGAAAGAAATCTGAAAGATATAGACATTAATTACGGTGTAAGTTTCCCAAATACACATAGTAGGCTAGAAAACCTCTTTCCAATCCCTGGAACTAGATTTCAATTGGATGTAATCCTACTGATTTGATTATCATAACTGTTTAATATGTTTTGACACTTTGAATGCAGTCTAATTGAATCAGTGGCATTATGGTTGGGATTATCATAATCCCATCAGGCTAATCCATTAATCCCTAATCCTGCCTTGACCCCCACTGACCTTACAGGCTTGGTTTGATACAAGCTTCCTGGTGTTGTATTTTGAAATGGGCATTATTTTGACAGGCAGACCCCTTAGTGTGAATGTGTGGAATTATTAAAAAATGTGCCATTAACCATATTGAGTGGAAATTAGTGGGAAAAAAATCACTTTTGCTAGCCTTATATATTGACAGTGCCTCCTATAAGTTGGTTTTATTAGTGCAGTAGAAAGAAAGTGTGCTCCCAATTGGACTGATTTGCTGTTTCTGGACCATATTAACAATCATTCAAAAAGTACCTCCCATTAGTTTGATTAGTGCAGTTTTGTGAACTGCCAGAAGTGAGATTGTGTGGTCCCCATAGATCTGAATTGATCTATATATTCCAAGCATGCTAACAATCATTCTAGAAGTCAATAATGATACTCCAGAAGTTTGGAAGTGGAAATTGATGTGAATTGTTGAGATGTTTGCAAGTCAGAGTGAGTGAGTTGTTGATTGAATCTGAAACAAACAAGGACTTTGCTCCCGAGGATATCTTAATTTCCAAATGATTGCAAACTTAAGGACAAAAACTCAAAGAATCCTTTTGAAATTGTAATATACAGGTGAATGTTACACAACACAAGAAAGAATGTCAAAGAACTCAAAAGTATATCTGAACTTTATTTGAAAATCCAAGAACAAGGAATTATCAATCCCTGATACATTAAGTCACAAATGTTTATAAACTTATGGACAAGAAAACCCAATTTTCCAATGTATATGAGCTCAAGTATAAGAAATCACAATTTGCAAGTGGATAAAAACAAAGTACAAGACTTCATCTTATTTAAGATATTGACAACTATTATCCTTATTAAATAAATCCTATTGGTAGCTATATTAACCCTGGTGTAAGAGGCTGAATTTATGGGTGTGAATAACTGGCCCTTGACTATAAATAATTGAATAATTTATGATTTATCAAATGGTCATAAAATAGGATTTGAGTAATCTTTAGATAGCCAAATTGTTTGAAATATTTCTAGAAAACAATCTGTAGATTGAATTTAACCACACAGTAGTGATTTGAAGAAACAAATGTAGATATATTCGAGGGGTGTTTGAAACCACAAATGAAGGATTTCTGAATGAAATTGGTATCAATATTTCTAGGATTAACAATTATTTTTAGATTTGTGATCAGCAGTGATATTCTGGAACTTTAAAGGGAGATTCTGAATTGTGTCCATCTATATTTTTGGAAGTGTAAAAGAAAAAATTACGTAAATGAAGCATCAGTGTTGGCTAATAGAATAAAAATTAAGAGATTAAATGGAATGAATTACAGGTTATCAAGTTTCAGTCTAGTTGAAATTTCTGTAAAATAATATGAAAAGAGAATGATTCGACATCTAAATGTGACATGCTGAAAGAACTGATAGTGAATGTGTGGAAATTCAGTCAGTGAGCAGTACCTAAACTCTGGTGTGTCAATGACAGGCCAGTTTACTAATACAGTTAAAGTAATGATACTGTAAACTGTCCACATCAAAGAGACATGATACCTGTGATGTTACAGGCTAATTAGAAACTAAATAGGTACAGGTCATTTCAATTTACTTCTAAGACATTCACTGACCCAGTGTTGTATTTCAGAGTGTGATATACACATGACACTAACTAACTTTGAGTTGCCATATATATTTTATATGATTATATTTGTTACCCTAAAAAGGGCTGGAATAGGAAGGGGTCCACAGTATACAGAGCTAAAGAATGGTTCACTATGTAACTAGATGTGTCTTGTGTTCCAATTCTTTGATTTTCACCTACAAAGGACATCACTTAGCTTTGGGTTGTATTCCAATTGCTTGATTGCCTCTTTACAGAAACACCTGATATCACCAAACTCAAGGTTATATTCCACCAGATATTACTGAACTCAAGCTTACTTTCTGGAAGTTATTCCACTACTGTCAGCCTTTGGGCTTCTGAATTATTGCTTCATGGTCTATAATTATGTCAACTTGTTTACCATGTGATGGAATGAATGTTTTAAGACATCTGGAGAAAATTAAAACTTACTATAAATGACCTAGTGAAATATGGTCTGGTCTGTTATATATCAAATATGACCTTTATTCTGGTGACACACATTTGAAGTTCTTGAGAAACATTTATTTGACAGATCTGGAAATTTAAAAAGGTTCTGGTCTGGAAGCAAAAGGAATTGAAAGAGGAGTTTTTATCTGGATAAGTGTGGATAGTTATTAATATGAACATGACAGAAAAAATCTGAACCTATTTTGAGTTCAGAATTTCTTCATTAGCCACCTTACAGTTCCTTATATTGACCTTGGACTATATATAAACCTAAACAGGTGCTTGTTTTGAACTATGGTGTGTATAATGTGCCTAATGGAGCAGAATATTTGGATCTGAACCAAAATAAACATGTAATGTGATTACTTGTTTTATAATTGGACTAATCAACAATTCTCTGATCATGTTGTTTATTAAAGATTTTTTATAAGATTTGAAATCAATATTTTCAAGATGTTATTTGTATCAACAGGAAAAGGATTAAAAAAGGTACGTCAAAGTTGGAGTTGAGAAACCTAGATGTAGAGTGGCACCAATTCATCTTGTGTTAATAAATAGCACACTGTTGATAGTAATGTGCTGGAGACCTACAACTAAGTGCCAGTGCCAGTGCTTATGTGTATAGTACCTTTAATAGTAATTTGTTGCTTTTCAATCACTCTAATACTAATTAAAGCAAAAATACTTTGAAGAATAAAGTTAATGAGAAGAAAGACATGTTAAGACTTACTCTATCTAACTCTCCGAAAAGTTGACAAAAACAGCTGTAAAGTGGCATCAAGTGCTACCAATGTTTTGCCAGTTTGAGTTCAGATTTCATTGGTACTTGGTTTATTTATATTTATCAACTGCTAATTGATGTTTCATTAAAGAACATGGAATCAGAGATAGCCCTGTGAAGAAAAAAGAAACTTTAAGACGAGAAGACAAAAAAACAGTTATCTTTATTAGAAAGATGTGTACCTGATGTCTTTATAAAGGTCAAAGGTTAACGAGTTAATTAACAAAGTGTGACATCATGTCGCGAGGTTATGGAAAAAACTCGTCAAGTCGAGCTCCACCTAGTGTCAAGTTCAGACGATCGTCTCTACAGTTAATGACAAATGTAAGAAGTTTTTTTAACTTTTTCTTTCATAAAATATTTACAGTGGTTTTTAAACCATGAAACAAAAAAACATTTCATCTTTTTAAGCCTGAATTTTTTACCCCGTCACTAATATCTTCTTGGTTAATATTTTAAATTTGGAAACATTACTTACCTCTGTCAATTGGGGACATTCACAGCAGCTAGCCTATAATTGATGCCAATTTTTTAGCACTTTCCTTATATACCGGACTTCATTTCGCATGGTTTTTTTGTATATTTTCTATCGTATGACATTGGAAAAGATGGTATTGGTCTGTGCCAGCAGTATTCATAAACACACATTCTGCAAACAATTACTACCAGTATTTTTGCTATTTAAATTTTACCAATCATATCAAGGAAAATGCAATATCACCTTAAATTGTGTTACCTATTCTTTAAGAAATTTCAACCATGTTTGGCTGTTAATAACTTTCTGTAAATGCAAGCTATAAATATCAGAGTACTGGTACTCTAAGACTAACAATACATGTAATATTTTTGAAGGTGATATTCCAATTCACATTACAATAAAGCATAAAATGTAATTTGTAACCAGAGTAAGAAGACAGTAAGATATGTTATGAAGAAATAAAAACTTACCTATCATTGGTATTTCTATTGAAGGTAGTAAGTTTTAATTAAGGATGAAGATAGGTCTACTTGTCAGTGTAAACAATACAAGTGTATCCTCACTGTCCTGAGATGCCACAGTTTGAATACCAACACTACCTAAATAAGCAGGCTATTTTTATATATGTATTCCTCCATGTCCTGAGATGCCTAAGATTGATACCAACACTACCTAAATAAGCAGCCTACCTATATGGAATTATTCGAAGTTTACTGTACTATATCTAGTTACCAACATTACCTTTATAAGAGGGCTATATAGATATATTCCTATCAGATCTTATTGTACAATATGTATAAATTCATTAATATGAATAACAAGTTTCTTATCATGAGGACTACAAGCATTGCTTAATTAAACCGTGTTACCAGTTACTGTTATTAACATTGGTTTGTTCATATTGCTCAAGATAACATTATATAGATACCATCATCATCAGTATGATCTTACTGTTCAACATGTATTAATTCATTGAAGATGAACATTGATCAAAGAATCATTTCAATATTACAATTTGAATTCCAATATTGCTGAAATAACTGCCAGTTGCTTAGTTAACATTGCTCAACATAACTATTGGTCTGAAAGAGCATTTATTCTTGTCATGTAAAGCTTGATAATTGAAAGTTGCTCATCACCTAATTCGTGACATTCTTAGTTGGCTCTAAATGATGATATAAATAGAATTTCATTAGGCAGTTTTTAGAAAAAGTAGTTTTATTTTGAATCTTTGATTAAGTAAATTGTCAGCTAGTTTTTGTGTGTATTTATTATGGTATATACGGTAATTCAGTATCAAGTATGGTGGTGAATTACTAATTAACAACCAGATAAACTTTGATTTAAGTTTCACCCCACATCTTACTCTTGTTTACAGTTTAAAGATACAGGTCGTCAAAAAGTTCTATAGAACCATGGGTGGTTCACCTATTAAGGTGCTCTCTCACTTAACTGGCGCTCAGGTTGGAATCCTGCATTGGTAGACATACATCTCATCCTTGTTTACAGTTTAAAAGTACAAGTAGTCAAAAATATCTTCAGAACTAGAATTATTGCTCTTTATAATTGTTAATAGGAGATATACATCAAGATTATAAAAATGCCCCCTTAGAAGAAATAGACAGTTTTCTCTTATTTGTTTTGATCAGACATAAATTGATCTGGTTGTATCTCATGATGTTGACTTATGTATTGGTGGCGGGTGTCGCACTCGAAGCTGTCCATGCTTACTCGTTTAGAAACACCTGATGGTACTTCTCTTTGGAGGAGTCCACTACAACACAACTTTTGATCTCAATTTTACCATGCTTTTGACAAGGTTTTGATTAACAAAATTTCTTGCTAAAACAGATTTTTATTGCAAGATCTGTTTGCTTGGACATTACTGGTAGGCATAGTCTCTCCTATTGGAGCCTGACAACAGTTTGTACTGTATGCTTTTAACGGATACTCATACATCGTGCGTTCGTAAATCTTCATAATTTTGTCTCTTATTGGTGTCTACCGGACAATATGCTAGTTAGCGACCAGTTTTATATGGACCCTGCTTGAATTTTTCTTTTTTTGGTGTCTACTGGAGAATATGCTAGTTAGCGAACAAGGGGACATGATACATTTACATAGACACTCCTTGTTGTCCACTCATGTCCTAGTTTTGTCACTTTAAGTCAGTTGATATCTAGAGTGTATGATGTATACTAGTCAGGGTGTTTACATGAAGATCAGTATTTCACAGCATCAGTAAATCTGCTTCATTCATTCATTCTCCAATGTTGTAATTTTTTGGAACTGCACAAAAACTCTTCATGTAGAATGGCGTGATTCTTGCTAATGAAATTTGACATAAGAAATGATATATTCTATAGTTACTTACGTTTAACATGTGGTTTATCAGGATATGTGCTTTTTTTTAAGATTCCATGTGACAACATTTGTACTGTTTTGGATATTATGAGAAATTTCAGTTTGAATATGTTGTCATTCAGAGACTTAGTATTAGATCTTTATGATTTGTGCTGTATTGAATTCTGATTGGATATGGTTTGGTATCACTGTTATCTGTATTATATATACTGTGTGGACCAAACTCCTGTACTGAACATGGAATTGTCAGTCTATTAAACTTGGTCAAAGATGTGTCAGTAGGACAGAATCTTAGAAGGTGTTCAGGGGATGTAGTACATCATGAGTCATCATTTAAAAAACTTAAAAACTACCACATCCAACAAGTTGCTCTATTTGGATCTTCAAAAAGAATCTAAAAACATACTATTTTGATAAGGCTTTTAATCAGTGATTTAACTTTTAACCTTTGCTTTACTTTTAAACTATGTTTTACAAATATTTTATTTGAAAATGTTCTCCACTGAGCAGTTTTACTGATTGTATCAGCTATACAAGATGGAATCTCATTATTATTATTATTAAGCAATTAGATAAAACTGTCTTCTTAAAGAAGCAAAGAGACTGTCTTGTGGATGTACCTGTGTAACGATATTACAAAACAAAAAAGGAGTGTTCATAGTATACTAAACAATTGTTCATGGATAACTCAGAACTCATAGAACAGATCATTCACGTGAGGTTTGATAAGGAGTTAAGACATCATCAAATGAATAATTCATTATATATTTTGAATAAACCGAACAAATTTTATAGGTCATATTACATTAATTAAGGTTTAATTAGCAAATTATGGGACTTAGTTAATTAGTAGTTGTTTGATTAGATATTGTGTGAAAGACAGAAAGGAATAATTGAAAATCATGATATAAACTGATGTTCATTTTGGAAATTAGAAATTCATGAAATGCAGGTATGTACGATTCCATGTTTAATAGATTCATGTACCCCGTATTGTACACTGCATGGTCTTTGTAATGATTTGTGACAGTGTGAGATTCTAATAAGGAAAATTCATCATTATGTCTTAAAGGGAAACTCTTGAGTGCTCAAAGATTTGCTTAATTTCAAGAATTGACCTATCCTGCTAATTAAAATTCTTTGAAGCATTGATGTTTGAATAGTTCACATGGAAACCTGAAATTCTTTCTTTAGAGTATGCCAGCTTCATTTAAAATGGGAAATGTGACTAAGTTCTAGCTTCCAGTTCATGAAGCTATTGCAATCATGGTATACACCTCAATTTCAGCATGATATTTGGGAAGTAATCTCTTGATTCATTTTTAGTCAGATCGTGCCTTTAAATTTTAGAAATGCTTAACCGGGGCTGTTGATTTAGCTCTATTTTCTGGACATGACTGGCAGGGCAGATCAAGTATAGGTTAGCCATAGGTTAAGCAGTTTTCAATCGCAAAGTCTGCTAATAAATCATTTGTTGAGTTGTAACAAGCACAGATATCTGATAGAAAATGGAATGGTGTAATTCAATGTTAAAAGTATCTTTGATTCACATAAAAAGTTCAGAAAACTTCATTATAATCACTTTAATTTAGAAATTTTCTCTGATATCATCACCCATGGTCAGTTATCAGTCAATCATAAATAAGAAACATAAAGAATGTGACAATGTATTATAATATATGAAGAAATAATGCAAAAATGTGATAATTTATCAAATTGTCCTCATATTATCATAATCTGTACATTCTTGATGTCAATAAGAAACAGGGTTAAATTTCAAACTACAATAGGGTCTTTGTTATTCAATATACTTTAAGTTAAAGGGAACCACCTTATTGCTTAGTACGAGAGGTTGATTCCAAAAGGATTGTACTGTGGTATTAGGGTTTTAAGGAGGTAGATGAATGTTTCTAGATGCATTATATATTTATATATGAAATTGTCGTAACAGCTCATTTCATGCTACCAACTCATGTAAATTGCTCATCAGTTTAATTAGATATTGGGGCAAACTTTCCAAATTTGGACTTTAGATGTATTAGCAAAGTAACTGAACAGGACCAAGAAGTATGAAAAAATGTCAGGTTATCGTCTTTGAAAATATATAAGTATCTTAATTTCTTATGTACCACTTAAAAATACCAGTTTAACTAAGGACTAGATGAGCACTGAAGGCTCTAAAATTAAAATGATAACAAGCTTTTACACAGTAAAAATAGTGCTTAATGCTTTAATTACAGAATCTATTAAAATATACATTTGGTTAATTTGGGACGCCCCACCAGACCTTTAAGTTACCCACTATTCACAGAGTATAAACATTGTTGACCCCCTCCAAGTGCCCAAATGACCTTATTATGATAAATTGTAGATAAATGAAATATTTGTTGTTATAAGATAAAGTGACCAATGTCTTATTTTAAACTCTTTGATCTATAAGAAAACCTTGTGGCTATTTTCAAATGAGAATTGAATATTCAATAATTAAAGAATGTAAGCTTATCTTTAAGGCATTGATCTTAGTAAAAAATAGTTAATATTTTGAAGGCTTGAATATAAAAATGTTAACACCAGTCTGCTTTCGACTGTATTTACATTGCTGAAAATTAAGTGATTCAGTTAAAATTAGATTAGAATTAAATCAAATTTGATTGATGGTCCTTACCATGGCTTCAATAAACATCTTGGACAAGGATATTCACCCCCAAAAAACTGAGCAAAACACTATAAATCATGTCTATTACTAATTCTAGGCTAATCTCCAGAATAAATGATTTGTGTTGTTTACTCAAAACTAGGTTATGGCCATTTTAAACAGAGAAATAATTTGTGTCTGAGAATACAGAAAATAGTGGTTGATATTTGAAAAAAATATTTCAATTTTGATCGACATGGAATGACACTCGATGTCTACTAACCTTTACTCATGTTGAAACAGAGGCTTGAATTCTCAGACATTTGTATAGCTATGCCAGATAAATATTGGATAATATAGCCAAATCGCTAACTGACATTGAATCACACTCAATGTTTTACCTCAACTTCAGATGTCCGACAGAGGCTTGGGATTTTTGAGCAAATGTGAACTGCAATTCGGCACATGTCCATCAAATAAACTCAAATCAACCACCTTAATATAGAAAATAATACCATAATAAGCAAGGGAGTCTGGCTCATCTAGAAAATGCTTGAGAGCCTGGGGGTGGGCAAAAATGAGAAGTCACTCTCCAAGGCGAGGCCCGAAGCCCCTTCTATGCCTGAGTACTTAGGGGGGCAGAGGCCTGCCAAAAGCCAATTGATTTCAGATGGCCTAAGATGAATTTTGAGCATTTAGAGAGCTTAATTTTCACTTCAAAATAAGACTTTTCATAGACCTTCAGACTTTCCAGCATGGCCCAAAATTTACCGCCAAAATACAGACTTTTATACAATGAATGAAAGTAACAATGTAATAATTAAGTAAAATAAAACGACTGTCTATTGACTCATTGACATTCAGTTTGACATTTTACAAGGGTGGTAAAACACTACGGTACAGGCAGTAAACTGGTGAATTTTATACTCGAATATGTAGAGGTTCGGTAATTGGTATGACGATTTAGAATTTACCGTATTCAACTTAATAAATGGTAATTCCAACATTGTTTCTTCCTAATCACTTTTTGAATTGCACTGTATTTATACTATATTGTGTTGACTTTTAGCAGATTAAACTAAACTTTGTTCACTTTAAGTTCCTGAGCTCCATATAACTAAGCAGGTGTAGATAATGAGGCAGGTCATGCTTACCCTTCTAGAACACTTGATGCCTCTTAATGACTTGGTTTTTCAACTAGGTGCCCATTCAGAGAGTCCACAGAGCTAATATTGTTTATTTGGTATATTTATTAGATACTATGAGACATGGCCAGTAATAAATACACTAAGTGACAATTATCATCATTGATATAGACCAAATTCTGGCAAACTGGTGTGCCGTTATTAGACTAACTATGGTAAATTATGATATAAGTGTTGAACGTTGAACAGGAACCTGGGGTCTGAAAGTTCCAGGTTTTTATTTGGATTATTGATATCAGTGAATCATTAAAATTAAAAGTTGAATTACGAAGTAATCAAAGGGATTGGTGCTTTGTCCTCATGGTTTTATGTTCGATGTAAAATGATTTCAGAAGTCTCTTCACTAAGATGTGAATTGTATCAAACGTATTGTGACTATACAGTATTCTGAAGTACCATACTGAAGACTCTCATTACTGCAGTGTTCCTTGACTATAATCTTCTGTTTTAGAAAGAGTTAATGAAAAAAGATCATTAATTAGTGGATAAATACTACATGGTTAGTTTTGAGAAATGTTTGATTGTTTGTTTCAATATGTTTGACTGTTTGTTTCAATATGTTTGACTGTTTGTTTCAAAATGTTTGATTGTTTGTTTCAATGTGTTTTACATTGTTTCAATGTGGTTCAGGATGTGATTAATTTATGTATCCGACTATCTTTCTGTGTCTGTTTTGGGTTGACCATTTAAAGTAGTGATCGGTTCATGTCTTCATAATTGTTCTAAACCTAATAATAACAACTATCAGACATTTTAATATTAGGTTACAGTCTAAATAGTGTTAAACCAGTGATAATATTGAAAGTCATTGTAAAAGAATTTTAAAAATCAAACTGTAAAATGGTTTATTAAATGAATTTCGTAAAATATGGATTTCTTCCTCTACTAGCCTTTATGGTAAAACTAAAAATGATTTTAGAATGTTCATGAAATTGATAACTCTATGCCCTTAAAGGAGAGACCTGTTTTGTAAGAATTGTTGTTATTTAGAATATGGTGCATACTGCAGACCCCACTTGTAATGATACTATTTGTGAAAGGACTATGTAACACCTATATACAAACTGTCAACCTGTTTCTGTCTGTTTCTAAGGAGAGGTTGAAACTTGTGATAAACAAAATTGGTTTTTGACCTACTGTCTTAATAGTAACACTGTTAGGGCTAGAACCAAACAAGTCAGTAGTCAGACTTTGCCCTTCTCCAATATTCAGATAGACAAAGATACTAAAATGAATAACTGATGCTTAAAAATGTATCAAATTGGATATTTTTGAATGTTTTAAAATTATTTTAGCCAATATCAAGATTAGGATTATTATGTTTTTTAAGTAAATTTGGAAAGTAACGGCTATGGTAAGTAATTGAGTTTCACCTTCTGATTTGTTGTGAACAGTAATCCTGTTCCATAATAATTAAAGATGGATATAGTGTGCCAGTCACCTATTTGACACCCCTAAACTTTCTATTGAACTTTTCCACACATGCATACCTTGTATCAATATAAACTGTGTGTATGTGATCGGAAGGGCTCATTTGTAGAATTAGGGATGTTTTTGTTGACTGTCAAATTATATCCAGCTTTGCATATAATGTGTAACTAATGATACCTTTTTATATCTTTTCAGGGTAGCAACATGTATTATTGGGCCCACCTGGAGCCAGGGACACACCATATTGACCTGGCCCCCACCAAATTAACTCCTATGTGGCCCCCACCAAACACAGTTGAAGGTGAACAACAGAAATCTGGTTTGAAGTATACTGAAGCAGGTAAGTTCATTGTTTTGTAGCTCGACAAATCTAACACTATGGGTTCCTCAGATGTGATATCCACTATTCTGGCATGTCAAATCATTACCACAATACAGGTATATCAGCTGGTCATAGGCAAACTCTTTTGATCTTTAATCCTAGTATCAAGAATAATTCTAAATCTTATTTTATGTTTGTAGATCATCAGGCAGCTATTGTACAGATCAGGCAGCAATATAAAGATGAAAATCAAAAACTAAAGGTACGTTTTAAAAAAAATTGTTGTGCCTTGTACTTTTTTTCTTATATGATTAAGCTTATACTTACCAGATACCACTTGGTGAATATGTTTCTAAGAATAGTTTCCTGTTTTACTAAGAATTAATATTGATAGTTTTATAAACCTCCTAATGGAGCTCATCTTCTGCCTGAAAAAAAAGTACATATAATAACAAAACCATAACCTGAATTTTACATGATCTGAAGAAAGCTTGACTAATTGATCTTGTAAATTGGAGTTGAGTCAGAAGTCCTTGTATTTCTCAGTCTTTGATTTTATAACTGAAAGAATAATATGAATTGAATAAACTATATCAAGTAGAGAATATCCAGAATATCCAAAACAAAATGGCTCAGGATGAATTTGGTCAAGTAATGAATATAAAATATTGATACAGTCACTTGCATTTATGCTAATTTAGCTATTTTCAAACTTGTACATATTGACAGTGATACAGGTTTTCTAGTCTTTTTATGTGTATCGGGAACACCTTTGACTTCTATTTGGGACATTCCAATTCTTCGTCTGATGTCTGTGGTTCCGGCCATTCTAGAAAACCTCTTTACAATCCCTAAGTAGAAATATGCAAATCCTAGAAAAATCCTAGATGCTAACATAGAGTAGACATAAACTATAAATACCATTCTAAATCTAACAAACACATAAACAGAACCTGAAACATAAAAACTGAAAAGAAGTTACAACATGTTTTAGGTTCTATTTTAATATTTCTATATCATGCTACAATTGATGTATTGAGCACTATTTTAAATGAAAATATTTTGTTATTATACTAAATTTAACAAGTATATATAGATATACATGACATGAACATCTATATTGTCATTATTGACTGTAACAGCTGGTATGAGTTTTATTAAAGGTACCAGATCTCACTGTCATCTTGATGTAGTTTGGTTAGGAAGATGGATGCATATATCTCTAAAGCTTTAAAGTTTACACTGTAGAATTTGACCTTTTTGGCATATTTGCATTAAATTGAGCTTTTTTGTGAGTCCTCTGACAAAAGAGACAGCTTTGACTATTGGAATTTCTTAAAGAATTTCTTGCTATATATCTTTTGACATGCCAGTAAACAAGTTTCTTAGTGCCCCTTTAAATAGACTTGAACAAATATAGAACATCAAAACATTGCCTCCTATGGTTTATTTTCAAAAGTTTGCCTGAAATTCCACTTTAACTACTGTAGAATCACATGATAATTTTATTGAATTTTAAATGAGACTAGAATTACTGTAGACCTGTTATTAGACTTCAAACCCTCAATTTGGGTTGTTTTTTGTTTGTGGAAGTATAAGTCATATTTTGGTATACTGGTGTTCAAATATTTGTCTTTCCAACCAGACAGCTGAAAATGGATGAAATTCTGAACATGAATGTGTTTTGAATGGAATATCAAATGAAATAAATTCAGTTAAAAGGCAGAATTATCAGCTGATTTCAACATGGTTGTTCTACCTCGTTTGTTTTGACGATTCGATCCTTTCAAAAGGTTGTCCCAAGAAGTGCCTAAAAGTGTTTTATTTTCCTAAATAATGGAACAATTTTGATCTAGTTAAATTAAAAACTGCTAACAGTGACACGCCTTGTAGATGTTGATTTGTTTTGTGATTTGGATTTCAGCACCTGTGTTCCATTGTCATTACTAACCTTCTAAAATACTTTGTTACAACTGCCATTTTGTTTAATACTAAATTAATTGTGATTAAAATATAGTAATAGTATAGTAGAAATGGGTAATTTTGGGAGTCGTAAGAAAGTAGGGAAATATGGACTGGAAGATCAGGGAAATTATCGTAGAATTAATCAACTAAGACACAACTCTTATGATTATCTATCAGAGGTAATGATATTAGCAGGATAATCTTGGTCCTTAAAGGAATGGTTCATCATCTTAGTCAAGTTCCATAACAGGTTTACTCATCAAAGCTATAACAATTTCCCTAGCCTTTTAGTTTTGCTCAATCGATGATTTGTGTCTAGTTCAATAAAATTTATCAAAATAAAATAGTTTGATTCTAAAACTATTAGAAGTAAGCTTATAAATGCTATCCTATACTAGCTTTTATGTAACATGAAGTATACAGGGGATGATAAGTCTAATTTATAGACCTGCTGGCTCAAGGAATCCTGTTCTATCTCTGATTTATTACAAACTGTCAATATATTTATCCCAAACCTATTCTTCATGTCTTTTAGTCTGGTTTAGGGTATATAAAGAAAAATCTAGAATTCCATTTTGTTTCATTTCATTCCCTTTTTTTGTAGGATGAAAATTATGTTGAGCTAGAAAAGGTGAAGAATGAATATACAGTGAAGATTGAGGAATGTAAAGCTCGGATATATGACTTACAACGAGAGGTAGCTCATTATCAGGTGTTAGCGGGCATAGAAAAATTAACACAGGAAGCTTTAAACCAAGCTCAAATTGCTGGTGAAGAGGAGCAGCCATTTTCTACCTACCAATTGAATGGATATGAAAACGGTTCCAAAAGTGACCTATATGAACCTGGCGAAAGGATAATAGCACTGACAGGGACACCTCAGCGTAATAATACATTGGACTACAATAATCAAATAACACCAGAATGTGTTCGTAATGCTTCCAGTTTTCCTCAAAGGACAACACCAGAAGATCATCAGTTCCCTCCCCTTCACCCCCCACCTGAACTTGTCCCCACCCCCAAGAAACCAATCGTTTCACCTTTAGGAAATGTTGTGCCCCCTAAAGACTCTACTAGTGCTTCCAATGTCTCTGATGGTGTTCACCCCCCTCCCGCTCCGTCGTTATCAGAGGGGCAGAAGAAATACCCCCAATCAGGCCCATTTGAGCCGAATGTGTCTCAAACACCTCAGTCAGCCCCACCTCCACCTCCACCACCAGCCATTGGGGGTGGACCACCTCCTCCTCCACCCTTACCCCCAGGGATGGGTCCACCACCACCACCTCCACTACCAGGAATGGGGCCACCCCCTCCCCCCCCATTACCAGGAGCACCAGGTTCACTTATCAAAGCTAAAGGTAAGAACTATTGTTTCATCTTTATTGTAATTTTAAGCCTTTTTATGTAATAGTTATCTGAAATTTTACCTCAGGGAAGTGCCTGGGTAAAATTTCTATTAAGACACATCCTGTACACATATGGGGGATTAAACGAGGTATGATGTCCCAAGCTCTATTGTTAATTCAGAAGACATTAAAGAAGCAAATATACAAGGTACTGATCTAGACATACTTGGTTTGACTGTCAATACACTGTTGTCTATTAGATTTTGATATTTTTTTTCAAATCGGTTTTCAGGTCCATCCAAGCCAGTGATTAGTCCTAAATCTCCTATGAAACCATTATTCTGGCAACGTTTACAAGTCCATGTATTAAAACAACGAGAGAAGAAGTAAGTTTTTACTTCATCTTAATTTTTGATATATTACTTACTGTTAACTGAAACCATATTCTACAGACTAAGGTAAAAACTTTCAGATGAAAAAGTAGTATCTGTCTGGTTGCATACTTAAATTTCAATTCCTTGTACAAAAAACAGCTTCCGATAGCTTCACGATTTGGTAATTTATGTATTTTCCTCTATAACTTGAAATGATATTTTAGATTAAATGAACATAGATTATTTTGGGAGAAAGTTGAAGAACCACATATAGATCTAGATGAGTTTGACTCTATGTTCTGTAAACTACCAGTAGAGAAAAAAACTAAAACTAACAACACTAAAAAGAAAGATAAAACCAAGCAGGTAAGGGATGTTTTCTTGCTCATTTCTCAGCACATGCTAAAATGAATGGTGGATGTTCCTTCAGTTAGATTATAGAAAAGTTTAAGATGGATATCTGATATGGACTTCCCATCCCGTTGTCTGAAATAACATGCAAAAGAAGTAGAAACCTGACTTCATCGGTAGATTATACTTGTATGTAGTACCGGTAGATCCTTGTGCTGTCATTTAAGTGTTACTGTAATCTCTATAGTGGACAGTGGTGAATGTCATGTGGCATTGTATGATTCATTTCTCCACAATACTGTATAGTATCACATCATTGCCCATAATCCTGCTTGCATGACCAAATTGAGTTGAAATGTTGTGTACAATCCTAAGACTACTTGAGTATGTGAAATTCACTGAGTAACTTATAAAATATTTCAGGTGGCTAAAATTATTGATGCTAAACGATCTCAAACTATTGGTATATTTTTATCTAGTTTAAAATTAGAAATGGCTGATATTGAAAATGGTAAGTTACATTCTTAGACAAGTTTTATGATATTAAAAGTCTAGTATTTTTTGTCGCCTCACATTGATTCTGAGACAGAAGCTAGGATGAGATTAATAAGATGTTTATGATATTTATATTTCAGCTATATTAAATTTAGATACCTCAGTTATAGATCAAGATAAATTAAAAACTATTTATGATATGGTAAGTAGGCTAATAGTTGTCTCATCTGTCCTGTATAACCAGTGAAAGCACCTTCTTCTCCTTCTCCATCTCAATCTTCATTGATAACCTTGACCTTTAGATTAGCCAGCATGATTGTACCCTGGCAACCAAGGGTCTAAAGAATTCTATGGTATATATGTTTTATATATATGAATTTTCTTGAATGAAAAAGCTGTACAATCTGTATTTGATGAATATCAATCCTTAATATACATATATGAATTATATTTTATTTTATTTTTTAATAGAAACCAACAGATGATGAGAGTAAAATGATTATTAAATTTATCAGTAAAAATCCTGACACTCCATTAGATAAACCTGATCAGTAAGTTATATTTATTTCTAGCTTTAGAATCTGTTTTAGTCTATGGTCTAAAACTCTACCCCAATTTATGAGTGGATACCATTGGTTATCAGTAGTTACCTCCCTTCGATAAGACTTTTCAGAATGTGCAAAGAAAAAAAGCTTTCATGCCTTGCCTACATGTAAAGAAATCTTAAGGAATCTCTGACATTTTCTATTCTGTATTTTCATCCTCCAACAAAATTCCCAGAACTTTTGACTAAAACTGTCTTTTTTAAATATTTCAGGTTTTTACACGATCTAGTCCAGATACCAGATTATTCTGAAAGAATATTTTGTTTTATATTTCAATCTACATTTCAAGAGGAGATCTCAGTTATTGATTCAAAACTTCACAATTTAAAAATGACTTGTGAGGTAGGTTTTTTACTTTAGATTCAAATCAGAGCTGGTGGCATATTTGCAAGTTGTGTCTTACAACAGTTATAAATTTTCATGTATGTTAGATAAATTCTCTGAATCACAGAGAATCGTGGTTATGCATTTTGTCACTCCATGTCTGTAAATCTAATTTAAAAGTGTTTAGAAAAATTTTGTTGTTATATAATGAAGACAATCTGATATTTTGATTCTTTGTCCTTGACTTCATGAAAACAAGTGCAAATAGACTCTGGAATTTTATATTTTATATTAAGCTGATAAAGCATAGAAATATCGACAAATTGACTAACTATCAAATTTATTTCTGTTTGTCTTTTTAAATGGAAATTGATTCAAATATAATTTTTGTCTTCTTTGATAGGATTTAACAGAAGGATCTGGTGTTCAGAGAATATTTGGTTTAATTTTAACGTTTGGTAATTATATGAATGGTGGAAGTCGAACACGGGGACAGGCAGACGGATTCGGACTGGAAATATTACCTAAAATAAGAGATGTGAAGGGGAAGGTAAGGTCAGATTGAAATGGTGCACAAAATGTGGTCTAATTTACTATACTAGTCACTACATTCTGATAATCAGCCATTGTTTTATAGCATTTCCACGTTTTTCAAGACTTGATTCTTAGCCCCTGCTGCTGCATGATACAATCCACTTTAATGTAATTTTCTGGAAGTCAGTGCTTGCATTAGTTCACTTATACATATAGCTTCATTGGATATTCACATATATTAGCAAAGTATATCCATATATTGACTTTGAGCTTTACAAATGATTTTTTTTTGTTGTCTCTAGGATAATCGAACCAGTCTACTACAATATGTAGTATATAAATATATTGAACGTTATGAGAGAGAGGATGCAGGGACAGATCATGTAAAGCTCCCTCTACCAGATCCTAGTGACATCAGTCAGGCTTCTCTCGTTAATTTCGATGATATCAAAAAAGATTTGAAACGAATTAAGAAAGATTTTGAGTGTAAGTATACTATGTGTTTGTATATCTAGGTCAAATATAATTATGCACATCCTGGCCATGTATTCTTGAAAGGATCTTAGTGCTATGATATCCTAGAAACAGTGTTAGAAGTTAAGACCCTATGATATCCTAGAAACAGTGTTAGAAGTTAAGATCCTAGGATATCCTAGAAACAGTGTTAGAAGTTATATCCTAGGATATCCTAGAAACAGTGTTAGAAGTTAAGACCCTAGGATATCCTAGAAACAGTGTTAGAAGTTAAGATCCTAGGATATCCTAGAAACAGTGTTTGAAGTTAAGACCCTAGGATATCTTAGAAACAGTGTAAGAAGTTAAGATCCTAGGATATCCTAGAAACAGTGTTAGAAGTTAAGATCCTAGGATATCCTAGAAACAGTGTTTGAAGTTAAGACCCTAGGATATCCTAGAAACAGTGTAAGAAGTTAAGACCCTAGGATATCCTAGAAACAGTGTTAGAAGTTAAGACCCTAGAACATCCTAGAAACAGTGTAAGAAGTTAAGACCCTAGGATATCCTAGAAACAGTGTAAGAAGTTAAGACCCTAGAACATCCTAGAAACAGTGTTAGAAGTTAAGACCCTAGAACATCCTAGCCTTAAGATCATTTCAATAATATGGGACCAGGTCTATCATTGGACTGTCAGAGATGGGTGTCAAAAAACTTTCTGTTTGAGTAACATGCCAAGAATGCATGAATCCTAAATGTCGCTAAAGGATTTTTGCCTTTAAAAAGGATACAAGTTACCATAAAACGTATGTATAAGAATGTATAAATACCTATTGATAGACCTACATGATTGGGATATTTTTCGTATTTTTTTTTTTATCTTGCTAGCAAAATGTGACATCTCATACATCTGGTACACCTGATAGCATTGTGAATTTCATTTGTCAGTTCAGAATCCTTTTGAAGAAATTGTATAGCCTAGGAAATTATTTTCAATTCTATCTTCCTTTACAGCTGCTGAGAAGAGAGCAGAGAAAGTGTTACAATCAAAAGAATCAGTTAACTGTAAAGAACCATTTAGTACTGTCATGTCTACATTCTTTGTTAAAGGTATGTCTTGTTTCAGTAAAAAGGCCATTTTATAATTGAATTGAAATTTTCGTTTTTCTTTTTTTGTTAGTGGAGGGAGTTATCTTTGTTTCATAAGTTTTTCACCCCAAAAATTAGATTGATTTCCAATTCGTCATTACAACTATCATGTATTTATTTTTGTCTATTCTTTCCTCAGGAAAGCAGGAATTTAGTGAACTAGAAGAGTTGTTACAGGAATGTTTTAAAAAGTAAATATTTTATTCATTCATTCATTCATTCATTTGTTGGGTTATTTGAAACTGTTTGAATGTTTGATCTATCTACTATTTACACAGCATACAGAGTTGTTAGTTTCTAACATTTGCAGAATCATGACATGGACTTTTCAAATGGCTTAAAGATACAAATATACATGGATTCCAATATTTGTAAAATCTTGCCAGTGAAATATATTTCATAATATTCAATATTACACCAAGTTCGAATGCAAAACATCATGGCTTCTAATGGAGGTTCAGTCAAACTCATTAACTATTTTATTCAATTAATCATTTTATATTGATTTAGTTATTCATACATTTTTAATAATTTGTATTTAGATTTGAGGAAACTGTGATATTTTTTTGTGTAAAAGCTAAAAGTGGTGAAAAGGAAGTGACACCAGGTTATTTTTTCTCATTTTGGTCGAGTTTCTGTCAAGAATTTAAAATTTGTTGGAAGAAAGAACAACAGAAAATAGTTAAAGAAAGGTGAGAATGTAAATTTTTATTATTACAACACTTTCTTCAGAAAAAAACTGTTGAGTTGGTTCCCTTGAAGATGTCTTGAATGGTTGAGTTGGTTCCCTTGAAGATGTCTTGAATGGTTGAGTTGGTTCCCTTGAAGATGTCTTGAATGGTTGAGTTGGTTCCCTTGAAGATGTCTTGAATGGTTGAGTATTGCAACTGAATTCAAGCATTTTCTCTGTCAATAAATGAAAATAGAGTAAATTTATAATCAGTAATAAGGTAGCACATATGTTGTAATAAAATTATGATTTGTTGTCTTGGTGGGGGATTAAAATGTTTGATAAAACAACTGTATTTGTCAAGATTATCTAATTGAGCTTCAAGATAGCTGGTATTACCTTTGGTCTCATGCTTTTAATGCTACTCATTGATAGCTTAATAAGAAAGAATCATAGAGTGAATAAGGTAGCATGCTAATGAGAGATGAGTCTGTATTGCTTTCTCTACTGCAGTCAGGTTTTTAACAAACTGTTTTGTCTTTTCAGAATCAAAGAAGCTGAGAACCATGTTAAACGATTAACAGAAGAGAAAAAAATGATTTTAGTTCAAACACGATCCAAAAAAGCTGGAGGACTGGTTAGTAAATCTAGATATTTTTTGGACTTGTACTCAAGAGCATAACACTAATAAGAATGACCAAGGGGATATGGACATATGTTGTCAGCAATCATGTCTGTTCACTTTTTGTTTCACCAAATGCATTAGTAGGCAAATTTTGAAGTCATCCACAATTTTGTTTATAATAATTAAAGTTGTTTTCTCTCAGTTATTAATTGCATATATTATTATTTTCAGAAAGATCGTTTGGCGAAGCAGGGAATGTTTTAGATTATTTATTTACACATGTAAGTGTCTGTATTTCTATTTTCAACATAAAACTAGTAAGGGGCAGAATAAGCCAAAATGAAAACCAAATATTTGCAATTTATCTGTTCAAAGCATGCATAACACATAAATAAACAAATATAAACTATGTTAGTTGTGTGGACTCTCCATGAGGGAAACACAACTGGCAAACCCTGTAGTAAAGGTATCCAGGAATAAAACAATAGAATGTATGGAATAGTTAAATAAATAGGAAAGATTCCCAATATAACTTGTCATATTAAAATATTAAAACAGTTTGTTATATCATGTTAGTTTTATTAAATCAAACTATATATCTACCAAATTTATTAGAAACAAGATAAGTTTTTATGAAGTATATAATAAAAAGATAAGAAAACATATAAAAATTAGAATTTCCTGATTTTGTATAATTTATAAAGATAGTAGTGCCATTTTAATAGTGATACACCCAAATTTATAGTATTTTCAACAGTTCAACAGTTTTTTTTTCATAGTAATGTTTTGTCAGTTCTTGATTTTTCTATTTTTCCTCTTCATATTTAGATCTTTACCTTTAAATGCATAAGGTATTTCATTAGATGAAAAAGAAATGGGATATTTCTTATTTACTCAAATAAATTCTGTAAGATGTAGATCTCTTCAGACGATGTTCATTATCCAATCAGATTCCTGTATTTCTTAAAATCTGAATTTTGTTAAATTTTGTAGAATAAGCCCCCAGTAGAATATAAAACTTTATGATGACATGTTAATTTATATTTCAGGGAAGATAAAAGATTTGTAAAAGACATCACATGAATATTAATAATCATTGCTAACTTACATCTTCAAAAAATTTTCATGATGGGGCTATTAAATCAGATCATTGAAATATAGTTGGAATTATAGGATCTCAGTGTTTTGCAGTGGTTCAAAATATCCTGAGATCAAAAAGTTAAGTGTCAGCAGTTATCTTGATATCTGAAATGTTACCTACAATGTTAGGTGTTCAATTAACATTTTTTTAGCACCAGATAATGTTCAGATCCTCTTTTGACTTATGATCAAGTCTTTATTCGTCTGTTTCCTGTTCAACTTGCTTCCTACAACCTCCTTAATTCTTATAGCACCTAAACAGCTTTTCAGTGTGAATCTCTAGCTTGGTGCTCATGTTTTTATACTTATTTTATATTAATGATGACTGAATTGGTTTTACAATTCGTTATTTCTTTGCTTTTTTGGCACTTTATGACACTTTATGATAGAACTGTAATCTCTGTATTGGCTATGTCTTAAAGTTATCTTTTTCTTATTGCCATATTATCGCACAGAAGACTTAAGGTGACTATTTATTCAATTCGCAAATGGTCACGTAGCTCTGGCACATAAAAATGTAGCATTTGAATTTTATTTTAAAGTTAGATCATTAAAGAATTAAGATTATACACTGTAGCTAGTGTCTAAACCATAGAAGTCCTTATATGAACTGTAATGTCCATTATTACTGAGTTTGTAATATACATACCATTTGGAAATTCCAAAACCCATTTTCTTACAAATATAATTATTTTTACTTGTTTATTTAACTTACAAATGGATGGTTTTATTAATTATTTACATTCCCTTCCTCTTACTATAATTGAATTCCAATTGTTTTCAAACCTTTACGGTCATTTCCGAATTATTTACTTTTGTGTCTTTGTTCATCAAATTTCGAGTAGTTATAGTTGCAAAGAAAGATGGCATCAATGGAATGTGTATAGACTTCCATAGAATTATAAATATATACATTCCAGTTATATTTCCTATCAATTGATTGTCATGCAGATGGCGCTATGTTTGTCTTTAGAATTAAACCTGTTTTAGCTTTCTAGATCTGAGGCATGGGTATTGGCAATTATTGTAATTGAAATAATGTTAAGAACATACAATAGTCGCTCTTGTTATTATTTCTTTAAAGTTTATCTCACACTCAATCACACTTAGATTGTAATACGGCTGTATGGATGTTCTATGCAGAAAAATAGGAAGTAAAACTCCATTCATTTCAATTTTATGGATGTTCCTTGTTCCGTGTCCATGCTATCTTTCATTGATATTTAGAGTAATATATTTATTTATATGTAATATATTTAAAGTATTTTATATTAATATATCATTTCTGCACTGTATTATAGTATTTTAAATTTTTAACTGTTAATAGTGTGTGTATATATATATATATAGATAGTAGGGTTGTGTCCATTATTGATCAATATATCATAGGTAGAGATGAACAACACTTTGAAAGTTTAAAAACCAATATTTAAAACTAAAAGAATTCAAATACAAAGAAATACCACCAAGTATGATTTCAACCAATATTGTAATATTTAATAAATTAAGATTCCAGGCCTCTGAAGGAAACTCGTATTCTGAGTAAAGGCGTTTAATTTAAACTTTTGCACTTGGTTGAAACTAGTTTAATTTCTCACGTTTTTTTTACAATAATTCAGTTATTCATTACTTTTGGTGGTTTTTGAAAATGACCTCATCAATTTTTGAGTTGTAAATTGCTAAGAATATTTTGTAATTATTAAAGGTATTAAATCATATTAACATTAGAATCTTTCAATTTATTGCACATTAATAAGTGGGGTCACCTTTTTTACACCACTAATCTCATTATGGATATATATCATTAATTATTACAGATTATATTATTATTATTATTATTATTACTATTATTGAAGCAATAGTGGTGATCAAAAGATGCAATAAATCAAAAAAAAATCTAGAAAAAAATTTGTTACTTGTTTTCTTGAAAGCTCACTCACGTAGCCTACGGTGTCTATTTAGTATAAAGCAAGTGACCACCAGCTCCTGCTTCTTTCAAAGTCAAAAAGCCTAACTCTTATATAGCTAAGATACCTGCACGACTCCTTTAATAGATAACCCTTGTTTAGATGGCTAGACTGATATATGACGTCCAGGGGTAGACGTCGCTAATTTTATTGCTACCCCACGAAACACCTGTTTCTATTCCAGCCTCTAATAGATATTTGGACAGATGTCAGTTGACAACTGTAAAAATACCCATTACTGTAGGGGTAGCAATGTTAATTATTTATTATGCAATTACGTTTTGATGACGTGAAAAATCACCTATATCAAGTAATGAATTAGGCTATACATTCTGAACAATAGGGTTTCAGTTGAGGCTTTTTAGTCTTGGTTTGTATAGAATCAGACGATAGTCGAACCGGATATCAAAATGGTAGGCCAACACATAGAAGCTATAAGTGTCCCTGTTACATATACAAAGCAAATAAAACTAGAACCACTTGCTGTACTGAGTGGGACTTTGCTAATGTGCCAATTTGCTAGAAAATCTGAAAAAGATCAATCTTCTAAGTTAATTAGGTCACGTTAGTGTCCGTGCTACATATAAAAAGCAAAATAAAAATATTTTGAATCCCAACAAATTGCGTTAAACAAAGGCGTTTCAAAGGAGCCATTAAGTATTGGTTTATGTGGAATTAGATGTATGGTCGAACAGGAAACCAAAATGGTAGGCCTACACTAAGAGCTATAAGTGTCCCTGTTATATATACAAATAGGCAAGAAAGACAGGATTTGAATCTCCACATATTCTGTTAAAAAAAATTATTCTGTATCCCATCAAATCCTGCTAACATATTTAAACTTTTAAACTATCAACGCCTCCTATTGATCTTTGTTTATAGAACACAAAAGCCATGCAGACGTCTTTAATTTAAGCTAACATGCACGGTTATATTATAAAGGATCTATTCAAATATTGCTGTGTAATCAAAATGGTACATAAAAGATACATATTGCTATTTTAATACGATGTGTATCTATTAATATGACGCCTATTGTCTGTTATTACCTGAAACAGTCAATAAACCAACCTGACTTAATTGATAAGCCGTGTATTGCTGACGGTTATAGATTTTTGTGATAAATCAAGTACCATCAAGATTCGATCAAGTCAATACGGCCGCCCCCAACCAAACATTGTCTTGACTTCATGAGTCTTATAACAAGCCACTTGACGCCTTGATTTTGAATTGCATTATTAAAGATATAGTTTGGGTTTGATAATTTTAAACTGAATCAATCAACTAAGATTAAGAATAAAAAAAATCGTTTCTTATTTGTTGAATGTTAATAAGATGCATTACGAATTAAATATTTCGCTAGATATTGCTTATGCACGGTAATAAATTACATGCAGAAAATAAACGGAGTGATATTGACAGGTGTTTAGTCATCATTTTGAAACTAAATCGATTTCTGTAAAATATAAAATATACGATTTGGATGAAAAACATGAAATGATACGATAAACTGGTCAGTTCTTTTGGTGTTTGCCGAGTCGCATGATTTAAATTTTTGGCCCAAAGACCAATGAATTTGTTGCAAGCTTTAAAAATTTAGCAGCCTGGACTTATGTAAAAACATGTAAGTTGCTTTGCATTCACCAAACGCAAAAAGACTTTTATGAGGGTGTCTTTAACCTCATAAAACTGTTTGACCATTAATCTTTACACTTCTCAGATGATAATTAAGTTTCACATTTCATAAACCAAACTGTTACTTTATGATTAATTGCAACATATTGTTAAAGTCAAATACGTTAGAATTCATTAATAACTCAATAACACGTTTTTTTTTCTTTTACACCAAATTTATCATAAAATACACAGCTTCTGGTCGAAATGAGACTTTGAATGATTTCCGATGAAATGAACAATCGTGATACATTACCCAATGAAGAATAAATCAATTATAAGTATTTGACTTCATTCTAAAAACTGTCACATTAGTAGCTAGAATAAATAAATAAAGACATAAAGCGTCTCCTTGCTTGACGCCAATTACCTGTTATAATATTGAATTAGTTTCCAATTTTGTCAGATTTTTTCCGGGTTGAGGGTGTATGTCTACAGAGTGGGAAGATCGTGAATATAGGATCTAAAGGTTAATGAACTCGG